CGCCAACTCTTGTTCCTCGTCCTCGTCGCTCTCGCTATCGGTGTCACCCAGGTTATGCAACTCATCCTTGGTGTTGGTACAGTCGTTCAGGAGCTTAAACTTCTTTGTAGAGAATGCAGCCTTAATGTTGCATATCAACTCCTGGACCATGGGCTGGATTAACGACGTAGTGTTGGGAGGAAGGAAGACCACTTTTACGTTGGGGTGACGATCCAACATTAAGGGCGAGTGTCCTGGTGCGTTGTCAAGGAGCAACAAAATTGAATGGAACATTCTGTTGCTCGCAGAATTTCTTGACGTCGGGAACGAAACAGTCGTCAAACCAGGAAAGGGACAGAGCAGAGAACATCCACGCCTTACGTGCGGTTAGCCAGTGGACATTTAGCTTGGTCGTGTCCATGTTCTTGTAGGCTTGCGGGCTGTGTGGATCACCGATAACTTGAGTTTACAGGTACCGGAGGCATTGGTGGTAAACAAAACGGTGATGCGCTCCTTCTGCAATTTCCGGCCCCGACACTTGCTGGCAGACTTGATAACGAAGGTCTTGGAAGGTAGCTTTTTCCAAAACAGGCCGGATTCATCCATGTTGAACACCTGGTCGTTGGTGTACTGTCCTTCCTCCATAACGTCATGTAAGAACGGAGGAAAATCACTAGCCGCAACACGGTCAGCACTCGCTCCTTCACTACCAATGTTAATGTTGGTGATCTTATTCCTCTTCTTAAACCCTTGCAGCCACCCAGAGGAAGCATTGAAGGGTTTGGGTTCTGCAATTCCCATCTTACGTGCCACTGCTACGTACAGTTCACGTGCGTACTCTTGAACTGACCGCGTGTCCACCGCCATGTTCCGTCGTGCCTGATGAATCAAGTAGCTCACAAGTAAATTCTCCGTCTTGAGAAGCACCTTGTTCTGGCAGTACTTCACCATTGAAGCACCTGCAGACTTTGTGATGTTCATGTGTCCTTTTATCTTGGCTGCATCCTTCTTGATCGTCCGGATCGTAATTCATTAACACCATGCTGGCACGCGAGATCACCCTGTCTTGTTCCTTTTTCTAACTCTTGTATTATCTTGTACTTCACCTCGTAACTTAGGGCATGTCGTATCTTCTTTGGCTTAGGGCAGCTGGGTCCAGGTAATGCAAGGTTTTTTTGTGGTGGTGGAGGTCCAGTGGAAACCATTCTTACGAGATTATCAGAACAATAGAACACAGTATACACGGGGTGACTGGGAGGATTGTAACTGACGCAGGGTAGGTCAAGAAGCTTCATCCCTCCCGCGGCAGGGCACGTCATATTACATTAAACCAATCACAGCTAGCGGCGGAGGGTGGTAAGGATGCGTGGCCCAATCACAGTCCGATATGTCATATGACGTCACCGATAATGCAACAGAGACATACACTGCGCAACCTACTCGCGCCGCTTACCCAACATGGCAGGAGATGGCGGGAGGTTTGAATCCAAAAATGATGCTGTGCGGCAGGAGAGCCAGTTGCTCTCCGCGTAAATGACCAAATTGACCGCGTAAATCAAGCATCCCGCTTCTGGCAAAGTACCGCGTAAATGACCAAACGCGTAAACGAAAACCGCGTAAATCCACTTGTAGTAATAAAGGTGCTACAGTGACAAATGATTTTTCATACAGAAACACTGAAAAATTAATAAATTTGAAATAAAACAATTATATATGAAATGCAATGAGACAAATTTGAAAGCCATGTGCATGATCTCCATCTCATGGCTGATCATTAATTGACTACCCTCCACCAGAGACCACCACCATACCAGCTAGCCATCACCTTTATCTACACCTATTTTTAATACTTTTATATTAAAGCAATAAGAATGTATAGGAATGCTTAAAAGAATCTAAAACAATTATAAAAGTTTTGACGTGTGTACATGTTCTCATTTTTATTCCATTCATACACTGTTGTTCCTTCAACATTCTTATGTTGTTTGTGTCTAATTTCACCTCGAGAAACATGACACTCATTCACTGTTTCTAGATACAGTACAAGGAGCACTTGACAAAGCACTGATGGGCCTTTTTGCACTCATTAAGCAAGATTTGAGCAATTTCTTAAGACAGTTGTATATACATACATGTAAACAGCTCTCTCCCTACAAGCGTTTTTATGCATCTAGGTCCAAGTTGACCTTGCACATTTAAATTTTTTCCTTACAAGTTTCGAAATATGAAAAGCATTTACATTGTTGGGGAACCTTCAATATTTCACTAATCACAGCCATAATAATATAAAACAATTTTAAAGAGTTTTCCGATATAATATAAACATTAACCCTTGCACTCCGGGCTACGGTGCTGCTGACCGTACCCTTCACGCAGGGTAAACCGAGAAAAATCAAGTTTTCCAATTTTTTTTTTAACCCTTTTAAATGATAAAACAATAAAAAAGAAGTAATAAAAACTATATATTGACCTTCTAGAACAGTGGTGTCAAACTCAAAACCTTTCAAGGACCAATTCTTATTTTAGTTACCCTCTTCAGGGCCAACACAAATGCTATATCACATATTTGCAGGATTGAAGTTTACAGCTTCACACATTGCCTTACCTGGCTTACCAGGAATACCTCATTTGGGTTTGTCTGATCTTAAGTGTGTAAAATTCACTTTACTAAATAAACGTGATTATATCTATTTCTATCATAATTTCATGGAATGATAAATTTTACCATCATCCCACGGGCCACACCTGACCATCCCAAGGGCCACATTTGGTCCACAGGCCATGAGTTTGACATCCCTGCTCTAAAAACTTCCCTGTGGCAGCAGTGGCGAGGGAGATAAGGGGACAGTGTTGTTTTGACGGCAAGCGCTCGTGGTTATTTATGCACTTAGCAGCCATTTTCTGCTTGCCTTTGTGTCCGGGATGGCCAGTAATGCATATATTTATTGGTCATAATACTTATTTCCTATAAATAATTCATTTAAATTTATTTTATATTCATTATTTTTCATAAAAAGTGCTTGGCGGCTCACACGCAGTCTGTCGCCAGGTTGAGGGACGACTCTCCATGGCGACAAGCTAATGTGTACTAACCTCACTGAGCCCACCCACGCTACCCTGAGTGTGGCGTCACCACCAAATAGTCGTGGTGAAACCTGATAACTCGAGCTGGGCATTCAAACAATGGCGCCTGTTCCAGAAAGTCAACCGGGGCGCCCTAGATGAACGTTCTGGAACGTCAACCAAGGCGTAGGGGTTAATACATCCTTCACCTTATTATTTGTGTACTGTACACAAATTTTGATATATGTGAGGGTTTCTTGAATTTTTCTCTCATATACAGTGAACCCTCACTTTACGCAGTCAATTGAACCCACAGCGGCCCGCGTAAAGTGAACAACATAACATATGGGATTAATTGAAATAGAGACCGGGCCGACCCCCAAACTCCACTTTTTCAGACACAATACCTACGTTATAGTAAAAATAACTTCTTAATTTTATGATGGTATGCACACAATTAATAATTAAGAGAAATATCAATAATATTAGGTTTTTTAACACTTACAGTAGTAGAAAAGATGGCTGGGCACACGGGGATGGGGGGTTGGTTCCGAGGCAGAGGGCAGATTATTGGCCCTCACCTGTATCACTTGTATCAATTGTATCACTATTCACCACAGAGGCTTGCAGGGCCTCTTTGTCAAACCCCTCAAAGTCCATATAAGTCCATATCCTCACTATCATTATCACTATCACTGACTTGGGCCAGCTGTAGTGGGTGGCGGGTGAAGAACTCGGTAATGTTTTGATGACTGGGCGACCTTGTGCGCACTCTGCTCGTGTTGCTCTCCGCGTAAAAGGGTACACACACCGCGAAAGTGAGCATTCCGGTTTCGGCAGGGTACCGCGTAAAGTGAAACCGCGTAAAGCGGGGGTTTACTGTACAGTAAACCCTCGATAACTTGGCACATACAGTATGGGGCTCTGGCCTTGCCGAGTTATCCCAAATTCCGACTTATTGGGGCACTTTCCTCCCATATATGTGTACATGTAATTACTAAATGTAAAAAAGTAACACTTACCAGCACTGCAGGCAAAGAGTGAAGCATCATAGTAGGCGACACAGATGCATGGTAGGTGACAGAGGCATGGTAGATGACACAGAGGCATGGTAGGTGACACAGAGGATATGGTAAGTGACTCAGATGGCCAAATATGCCACGATTTTCCCAGATAATTTTATATATCTCGGCATTTCCCGAGTTATACTATAATACATGCCGAGACCATACGAAATTCCGAGTTATCGAGGGTTTACTGTACAAGGAATAAGTACATCTCCAAATATCCCTTCCAATATACAGTATTCGCATTCAGCAAAAATATAAAAAAATAGTATACAGTAAAAGTAATTTTTTTCTCAATACATATGCACCATAAAAGACATTAGTATCTCTAAATATATGTAATGGTACACAGTATTTAGTAAACTGAACATTTGTGTTCACCAGGGAACAGACATATGCATTCAAAGAAAAAGTTCATGTTACACTTACCATGCCTTTATGTTCTGAAACCCATGACAAAGAATTTTGGTAAAGTTCCCCATTCAGATATGATCCTCGAAGCATCGTTGTCACTTCACCCAAATTCTTCGTGGGTTTTGAAACATAATGCTAAAAGGGTGTAACATGACTATTTTCCTTGACTGTACCTGTGTACAGTCTCATCACAAAGGTTGTGTATTGTTTTCTCACTAATATCCCTCCAGAACATTTGTACAGTATTAAATTTATTTTTGTAGAAATTAATGTTTCTGGTACTTTTGTTCAATAAATATTCACATATAAATATAAATCTGTACAGTATTTTCTAATCCAACCTGGACAAGATAGTATTTGGTGTATTAAGCACTTCAAAACCCTTTTTTTCCTGGGATATTCTTCCCATATGACTGACAAAATCAGAGTTGCATCCCCACAGTCTCAACACAAACAAGAGGATGGAGTCAAACATACTTTGTGAATAATCAATAAAAATATATTATACAACTGAAAACAGGTCTCAATTATAATTTTTTTGACATTTGTATATTTTATGAATTTTACTATCATACAATTCATTTATATTAGCATACATAAAATCTATGTAGTGTGTTTAATATTCAAGGTATGCTCGCAAGTTATCTCCCAGTATCCCTTCCATATTGGTAAATATTTCACGAGTGGCAGCCTCAACATCTGGATCAGTACTCTCAAGAACTTCAGTGATGTATGGCATTGTGTCTGCCAGCAACGGTTGCAGGAAGTCCTCACCTAAAGTCTCCATCAGCGCTCTGAAGGTCTCTAGTGCCGCCAAGATCACCTGTAAAAGGGTTCATAAATAAACTAACTGGATTCATTATATTCAACAAATACATACAATGGGGAATCAAATTACAGTACTTGAACAGTAGAGTAAAGCCTCGAATAATGACGTTAATGTGTCCTCCAATATTGCAGTGTAAGGTGAATCATCTTATTGCGAATCATTAATTACCATTAAATAAAGCAATAATAATGAGATGCATTCCCAAGTGTGACCTTTTCATATCTTTTGTGTGGCTTTTTACCCTCTTTTCCCCCCAAAACGATACAATTAATGAAAAGTGCAAACTACATTCTTTAATTTATGTTTCTGAATGCACCTTATACAATATAAATGAATAATAATATGGTCACACAAGAGAAGATGGGACGCCATTGTTTGTGTTTACAACCGGGAGTCTGGGACGATAGTTCTACACGAGAAAATGAAGAAAATAAGACCCTGGTTGTAGCTGTAGCAAATTTAATTTAAAAAAATTAATATACATTGGTCCTTCGGTTAACGAACACAATTCGTTCCAGAAGGTCATTCATTAACCGAAAATTTTGTTAACCGAAACCATTGTTTCAATGGGATTTTGGGTAATTGGTTCCAGCTCACTGAAAATTACATACAAAGTAAAAATAAATGCAGTAAAGTACACTTACTTTGAGGTGTGTATGTAGAAGGTTCCTGGTTGATGATGATGATGGGAATTAGAAGTTGGGGTGGAGGAGAAGGGAGAAGAGAAGGAAGTTGGGGTGGAAGAGAAATCACCCCATGCTTCATGCCATCATTTCACCCATAAAATTTTAAGTTCACTTGGTGTAATTCAAGATTATTTTCTTTAAATCAACACTGCACTGCACTATATATTGTCAATATGTAAAATAAATTTCAGAATGACCAATAACTGTACTGTAAAAATGTAAAAATAGTTTATGTTCAAGAGAGTTTCAAGCAAGATGTTACCTCTACTGACCAGAGATGCAAACTGACGGCTGTTTGGTAACTTGAGTGGCTGTTTGGCGCACTGAAAACTAGCTTCCTGTACTTCAATTGTTACATAATTGTTAAAATGACTCAAAATTTTAATATCAAACTAGGAAAATTATTGAATAGTACAACCTTCTTGATATTTACTCAAATGGGAATGAATTTAAACCCTAGAACCGATTACTGTATTGGCGGAATAATATTCCAGCTTGTGAGCAAGCCAAAACATGTTGAGAGGAATTCGTAAGGAATTCGTTAACCGATTTGAATATTCTTATGGAAGGTAATTCGTTAACCGAAATTTCGTTAACCGAGGTGTTCGTTAACCGAGGGACCACTGTATATGTTTTAAGTAACGTTAGTTAATGTTAATAAATGGAATAATCGAAGTAGCTAACCACTAATGGCAAAGAAAAAAAAAAAGAAGAAGATGGATTGGGAACGCTAACATATACGCACGCATTTAAGGATACTGCATCATTTATCTTATGAATATGTACAAAATATTCATTTTTGTTTATTACTGAATATGTACAGTATTTGATTGAATTAATGTTTATACAGTAAAACCTCGATTAACTGACTTTCGGATTAACTGTCAATCCCGAACTCCTAATTTTTTTTTTTTTTTACAGGGATTAGCCCACCCGGGCACAGGTCACTGACCCTCATCGGGGCCTGGGGGCAATAATGTCATAATATTAATAATGATAATGATAATAATAATAATAATAATTAAGAACCATAAATAAATGCAAAAATGAAGAAAAAAAATCAAGAGTGAAAAACAATATATGTATGTTGTGTTGTCAATAGTAAGAGAAGCAATTGAGACCCTGCAATTGTGTGTAAATGAGGTAGAAAGTCATCAGCAACCTGGGACTTGGTCACAATTTTTGTGATAACATACTGTATGTTCTTTGACTTTTCCATTTTTTATTCACGGTTTCTGTGCTGGTTCATATTTATTTACTAAAGTGGTTAATGCTTTAAAGCAAATTCTATTGAAATATGAACGGCAAATGAACAAAAATGAATAGAGGGAATTAAATGAGGTAGGTTGGGGAAAGGTACTTTGTAAATGTACGTTTTATTTCCGTAGACTTTATGTACTATTAACCGACCTTTCGGATTATCCGTCAGCCCCTTCCCCCCATATGTGGTTGGTTAATCGAGGTTTTACTGTATATGCAAAATGAACAATACAATTCATTAATATGTAGAATATTAAAACACACAAGAGGATAGGAGACGCCATTGTTGTCAGTGTCTACACCCAATGTATACGTGCGCAGTCAAGGAAACAGTAATTTTCTTAAGAATATGTACAAAAGATTTATTATTGTTTATTACTGAATATGTATTTGATTGAATTAATGTTTATATATGTGAAATGAAAAATGCAATTCATTAATAATACGTAGAATATTAAAACACAGACGAGGAGACAAGAGGGCATTGTTTTCGTGAGTGACGATGGTTCTACATAAGAAACTGAAGAAAATAAGACCCTGGTTGTAGCTGTAGTGAACTTAATTTTTAAAAATTGAACACCTGTATGTATGTTTTAAGTAATGCTATTTAATGTTAATAAATGGAATACTAGGAGTAGCTAACCACTAATGGGAAAGACATAAGGCGAGACGATTGGCAACGCCAACGTATGAACAGTAAGTGCGTACATGTGAAAACAAATCGTCATTTCTCAACATATGAATATGAAGGCAACACTTATTTACTGTTCATATATGTCTTAAATAATATTTACGAATGTAAAACTAAAATTCTATTCACCAATGGCAGTAAAGTCTAAAACATAAGGACAGCCAATGAATATTGTGCGAGTTTTTACTCAGATGATGAAGTCATCAGGTTCAACTCTGGCTGAAGCTGTAGCTTTCCATAAAACTGTTGCTGCTTATGGTGCTGAATTTGATGGTGTAGCTGAAGTTGATGGTTTAGGCCTTCGAATAATAAACCTCTCGAAAGAACCTTGCACAGCTGCTTTCTTTTCTCAGTACAGTACAGTGGTCCCTCGGTTAACGAATTACCTTCCATAAGAATCTTCAATTCGGTTAACGAAAACAAAATTGATTAACGAAATCCTTAGGAAAATCACGTTTTGTTTTGAACATCAGCTGATAAGCTGAGGAGGTACTCAGCCAATTCAGTAATCTCTTCTATGTTTACATTCGTTTCCCATGGAGTAAATATCAAGAAAATTGTGCTCAATAATATTTAAGCATTTTTTATACAGCATTAAAATTACAATATTGGTCATTCTAAAATTTAGCCATCCAAGCTCTGTCTACATAAAATTTTTCAACTACATGTATTATTTTTGGCTCAATATATGTAACTTTATTCATTTATTGAAACTCATTTACATGCACACACTGTCCTAAGGGCAAAGCTGTACTGTACATGTAATCAGAATAATGTACAAAATGATTACTAAAATTTTTGTCTAGTGCAAACTATGGTATGTTTACATTCAAATTAATCACTATCTTATAAGAATTCCAGCAACGTAAATTATATTCTCCCCGGTCACTTCTATTAAATTTTATAAGCAAAAAACAAAAACTCAATCTAAAGGACATAAATAAACAATTAAATACTTCATACCTGGCACCAACTGTCAAACATGTCACTGTCACCCTTCCCTCCCTACCCTGCACCTTCCCAAGAAAGGTTTGGGGGTTTTCAGTAGGCTTTAAGTTTTTATCTTATATAATATCTCAGACTAAAGTTAGGAGAATATAATTTGCATTGCTGGAATCCTTGCAAGACAGCGAATAATTTGAATATAAACGTCATATATTTTGCACAAGAGATAAAATTAATCACCTGTATCACATTACAGTAGTAATTTAAGAGTTCTAATGTATATATATATATATATAGTGAGTTAAGGGCGATTTAGGGGAGTTTTAGGAGAGTTTCTGACTTTATGCATTTTGGCTTTACTTAGTATATACTTTTCTGTGAGCTGGAACCAATTACCCAATATCCCATTGAAACAATGGTTTCGGTTAACGAACGACCTTCTGGAACGAATTGAGTTCGTTAACCGAGGGACCACTGTATACATCTTTATGTAGAGGTCATTTGCGTTTATTTAAATTTTAATGCTTTGTTTCTGTTAATGGATCCACTTCAGAAAATATGTTCATTGCTTGCTCCATATAATATCCACAGACCTCTCACCTTTTTCATATGGTTTTAACACATCTAGTTTCTCAGCTAAGCTTAGACACTTTCTATTAGCTTTTGAAACAACACTACCATCACTTGCTCTCTTGCTCATGTTGAATAGGGATGCAAAAATGCTGTAAGAAACCCGAGAAAATTCTTCTCCAGTTCCTGTTCCAGATGCGTGAAAACAAAAGGCCCGCCAAGCTCCGACTGTTATTTACCACTCATTAGCAAGGCAGCTTCTTTACGCAAGGCACTCATTTTTTTTACATTATTTTTTTTTTATAATACATATCGGGATTTAGTTATTTATATGAAAATGTAATTTTATTTAATTTTTATATTTTGGTCGTAAATACAAATGAAATAAGGATGCAACTGAATTGGATCCTAAATTATCTAGGGTTTCAAATACGAATGAAATAAGGATGTAAACTGAATTAGGTCCTAAATTATCTAGGGTTTCAAATACGAATGAAATAAGGATGTAAACTGAATTAGGTCCTAAATTATCTCGGGTTTCAAATACAAAAAGTTGTTGGTCGAACCGTTGTCATCCGAGGCTTTACTGTATACAGTTTGGCAAAAATTATTTAAGTAAGATATAAAAAATCAACACTATATAGTATATTAAAAAATCTATATATTGTTTGTTACCATATATGAGAAACAATTAATTTGTTACCAGCAAACAGAAGATATAGAGCTACATAACAATTTGTAATGTATCTGAAGAGTGAGTAGAAGCCAGATCAATACAGAAAGAGAGATGTGTGTATATTTATGAGTAACTGGAAAAATGTCTTTTAGGTTAATGGAACTATAATTTCTGTGACATACCATTGGTTGATCATCATTTCTGACCCTAAGGAGGATCTGTCGGTTAAGAGTCTTCCAAAGAGAGTCGTCTCCTATAGCAATGGCAAATTTGGTGATGCAGGGAACCAGGTGATTGGTGATGCGCTCCCTGTAGTCTTCTTTACTACCAAAGGTGTTCTCCAGCTAAGAAAAGTGAGGCATTAAGCTTAATAGAGCTAACTGCCAGAAATTGGTTGATACATACTATAATTCAAAATACCTGTACAGGTACCTACTTTTTGGAAGGCAGTGTCACTCTTCCATCCTACTTAGTTTCAGCGACATATGACCTAAGCTGTTGTGTCGCCTGGGATGTAAAGTAATTACCACAAACAATCAATCAATCCTACTTAGTTGAGAATGAGCAAAAATTGGTAAAAGATGAAACTTTACACACAAAAACTTCAATTAATACTACTGGATGTTATATATAGTCTTTCCATTAATTTTAACATACACTGTACATAATTGTATGGATAAAATAATCCTGGCTAAAAGTGTCTCTTTTTTTTTTAAGTAAAATATATAAGACAGTGAAAAAATTATGGGGATATAAAAGCACAATATGTACACCTAGAGCATTATGGGGATGTGTGTACTGTACCTGTATATTTCTGTCTGTCTTAAGCATTCCTATATCATCATCATCATCATGTGTGTGTGTGTGTGTGTGTGTGCAGCCACACACAGGATGGTAAAATGTATTTAGAGTGGCAGCATTATGTTAGTGTTAAGGTGCAAGCACTGCTTGCTCCCTCTCACTTTCAACTGCCGCCGCTGACTAGCCATCGTGGCGAACAGGGAAGCAACTTGCATAAGTCTTCCCCTGCCAGTACACAGCCTCCTCACCATCAAGACTCCTGCTGTGCCTCCTCGTGGCAACACATGGTAACTGGGTGCCTCGTGGGCCCAGGCTAGATCAGCAGGGGATCTCGGAGTAGCAGTGGACCCCAGAGGGACAGCGCATAAGCCTACTGGCAAGTGGACACATCCTGGCGCCTACCAACCACCGCCCCGCTGCCTTGCGGATTAACCTTGACAGGCATGAGGCTACAGGAGTAAACCCCGAATGAAAAATCTGCGGTGGAGCCCAGCATCAGGTAGACGGCAGTGTAGGCGGAAGAGGTGACCACCATGGAAACCCAAAGGACTATACCGGCAGACGAAGGCAATGCCTGATGGACAGGCTACTAAGGCAAAACCCAACAAACTGGGCTATCAGCAGTCCATTGCGATTCTCCCTCTCCCCAGTCGTTGCAACGCTTGCACCACTGGATCAGGTAAAGAGAGAACCAAGATGTGTGGTTGCAGCCTGCGCTCCTGCCTCATCACATAAATCAACTCACTCACAGCCATCATCCAGTTCATCATATCTCTCATCATCATCAAAACCCCTATACCCCCAAAAGTCCTATGGCGATGGACGAGTGGAGATGGGGACAGGCAGAGATGACTGCCAGGAGTCTCTCGTCACAACTCTGCACATGGGCGGCACAGATAAGATGGTCGTTTATGCACTGGGATCTAGGCAACAGTGCAATCCGGTCATGTCGGTGCAACTGAGCAGCCCTTTCGGGGAGCCACTCTGCTCACCCCACATGGAGAGGGGGCTAGAAAAAGTGCCCTAAACATAGCCTGCCTAAAAACACAACCTGACTGGGCAACCGCACCCAGTAAGATCATCCTTATGTGGTCAAAAACACAACCAAAATCACAGATCCAAACAAAAACAAACCATACAACCTCTTATGGTCGCTGCATGGAATGTCAGAACCCTTCTGGATACTGGCACAAATGCGCGTCCTGAAAGAAGAACTGCCCTTGTGGCAAAAGAACTGGCTAGGTATAACATCGACACAGCAGCCATCAGTGAGTCCCGGCTCCCAGATGAGGGCCAACTCACAGAACGGGGATTTGGCTACACTTTCTTCTGGAAGGGTAAGCCTGCTGCGAAGAGAAACTGCATTTATGGTGTTGGCTTTGCCATCCGCCAACGCATCCTACACAGGCCTTCTTCATAAGTGCATATGCCCCAACACTGGATGCACAGGATGACATCAAGGAGGCCTTTTACGCCGACCTCGATAGAGTGCTAACCTCTATCCCCAGAGAAGACTAGATTGTGCTCCTTGGCAGCTTCAATGCCAGAGTGGGCAGAGATGCTAACATTTGGCAGGGAACCATAGGGAGAAATGGACTAGGCAAGAGTAATCCCAACAGCCTATTCCTCCTCAGCAAGTGTGCTGCACACAACTTCACTATCACCAATACCTTGTTTAGGCAGGCCAATAAGTTCAAGGGTTCGTGGCAATACCCACGATCCAAACACTGGCATCTCATTGACTACATCATTGTCAGAGAAAGATCGCTGAGATGTCCTCATCACCCGTGGCATGCGTGGCTCAGACCACTGTGACACTGATCATCGACTTGTCAGATCCAAGCTCTCACTTCACATCGCCCCAAAATGGCAAAAGCAGCAAGCCTCCAGAAGAGGATTTAATACTAAGTGTCTGGAGGATCCAGCGGTAGCACATGCTTTCAGAGAGCAGCTCAAATATGGGCTTATAAAGAACCCAACCGCAAACAACGTGAAACCCAGTGCCGAATAGGATACTGTTATGACAAAAACCTGCAGAGACCCTTGGCCAGATCAAAAGAATACACCAGGACTGGTTTGATGAAAATGACCCGGCAATCAAAGTACTCATTGATGATAAGCGTGCTGCTTTTACTGACTGGCAAAACAACCCTCAGTCTCGAACCAAAGCTAATATCTTCCGCAAGCAGAAAGCGGCAGCCCAGCGGGAACTTCACAATCTAAAGAACGAATGGCTTAAAAATAAAGAATGTGAAGCACAAAAACTTGCAGATCAGCACAAGATGCACGAATTTTTCATTTCCACTAAAACATTTTATGGGCCAGTCACTTGTGGCACAGCCCCCTCTGCTCACCTGACAGTAACCTCATAATTAAAGACGATGAAGGCCTCCTTCAGCGCTGGAAAGAACACTACCATTCATTGCTCAACCAAAACACCGATGTGGATGTCCTGACTACCCAGCAGGTCCCTCAGCATCCAGAGCTGACCCACCTCACCTATCCTCCATCCCTGGATGAGGTAGCTACTGCCATCAAACAGATGAAAAATAACAAAGCCTCGGGGCCTGATGGAGTCCCAGCTGAGGTGTATAAAGCAGGAGGACCTCTGCTTACCAGCCGTCTCCACTCTCTCCTGGAGAATATATGGGAAAAGGAGGAAATCCCCCAAGCTCTTAAAGATGCCTCCATTGTCAATATTTATAAGAACAAGGGAGACCGGTCAGACTGTGGCAACTACCGTGGGATCTCGCTGCTCTCCGTAGCTGGCAAACTTATCGCCCAAGTCCTCCTAAACAGACTTCTTCCTGAGACAGAAAACTTCCTCCCAGAATCTCAATGTGGTTTTAGACTATCACATGGCACCACTGACATGATCTTTGCTGCCCGCCAGATACAGGAAAAGTGCAGAGAACAGCATCGTGATCTGTACATGGCATTCATCGACCTAACCAAGGCCTTCGACTCGGTCAACAGGGAAGCTCTCTGATGGACCCTCAGCCGTTTTGGCTGCCCACCAAAATTCATCGCCATTGTGAGGCAACTCCACGATGGCATGAACAGCAGTGTCCTGCGCAACGGCACCCAGTCAGAGTTGTTACCCATCCAAATGGGGGTTTAACAAAGGTGTGTACTGGCACCAACTCTCTTTTACATCTTCTTGGCTGTCTTCCTTGGTACATCGAGTACCAGATGAAGGGGGGTCTTTTCGACATAAGACGACTCCAGGCAAGAACAAAGGTGTCGGCAGCCTTCATTACTGAACTTCAGTATGCAGACGACCTCACCCTTGTTGCTCACACTGAACACGACCTACAGGAGATCCTCTACACCTACGCAGACACGTATGCACACTTCGCCTTGAGGTGAATGTACGTAAGTCTCAGATTCTCTTTCAACCTGCCCCTGGTTCGGACACACCCAGTGCCGGATTTAGACCTGTGGAGGCCCATGGGCAGCCTCTTTGTGGAGGCCCCCTCATTATAACTACCCAAGAGGGTGGGGTGGCGAGTGAAGCGAGCCTAAACATCTGGCTTACAGTGCCCCCCGGGAAAATTTTGAAATTTGAACACTTCTTTGGAGAATTTTGAAGCCATATGCAGTTATATTGAGGAAATTAGAACATTGAGAAATTTTTAATTAACTGTACTGTATATTTATTGATAGTGTACAAATTCCCATGAATTTTAAAGAATGAAAATAAAAATAATCCAAATGAATAAACAAATAAATAAAATATTGTAATATGTGGAGGCCCCAGATTGTGGAGGCCCCTGGGCAGCTGCCCACTTTGCCCACTCCTGAATCTGGCCCTGGACACACCTCCACCATCCATCCAGCTTAACAGTAATACCTTCTTTAATGTTACCCACTTTTGGTATCACGGCTCCCACCTGTCCACCACCGCAGACATCGATAAAGAGATTCAGCATTGAATCAGATGCCAGTATTCTTGCTGACACCAACAGTAGGAGCATCGAGGCTACCATTATCCGTGAACAACTACGCTGGACTGCCCATGTTACCCGCATGGACGACAGTAAACTGCCAAAGCAGCTACTTAACAGTCACCTAACGAATAGTAAACGTAATGCTGGCGGGCAATTGAAAAGGTATAAGGATAGTCTAATGACAAACCTGAACAAGTGCCAAATCGACCCCCTCACCTGGGAGACGATTACTCCACATCGTAACGCTTGGAGGAGCACCGCAAAAGAAGGTGTCAATGCTTTTGAGTTAGACCGACTGCAAACCAAGGTAGACAAGCGCCAATGCCGGAAAGACGCTGCCACCTCCCCTCTCGCAGTAGATGGAGCCCTCCACATGTGCAACGAATGTGAACGACGCTGCGGTCTCTTTAGTCACCTCAAAACTCACCAACCTAGGGGACATCCCTAATAACTCATAACATTGTATCACAGCTGGATGATCGTCATCCTCGATTCCAAGTGACAGCAAAGTAGTAGTAGTAAATCATCATCTTAGGTTATGCTATCCATCATATATATTTTCTTTTTTATTACTGTAAAATTTCATTTTAGCATTTTTTTACTTTACTTCCCATTCTCTGAATAATACGTCCTCACAGAAAAGCAATCTTGTTGATCAGCACCATTTTATAAACCAATGATTCATCAACAAACATAAGGAAGAGATGCACCATATTATCTCTTAAAGCTATAGCAGGTATAGATTATCATATTCATAATAACATTTATACCTCATTATAAAAGAACACAATCCATCCAAGCTACAATAATATATTACCTGATCAGTCAAGGGTTTGACCATAAGCTGGAATCGTTCTTGATTTGTAAAATTAACTGAGTCATAGAGGAATATCTTGGTGAGTGTATCAAAGACAGCTTGTAAGAGAACTGAAGTCTGTCCCTCTGCTTCATCTCCAGATCCAAACACCTGAAACACAGTAGCCAGGCATCATAAATAATATCTTCAACTATCCTGAACAAGTTCCAGATCAATAAAGCAATCCTAAGCAGTAATACAGTACTGTATATCCTTATCTTTTAAGATAGCATTGAAGTTCGCAGGTATTGGCAACATAATTTTACATCAAAAGTCACTAACTGCAAGACCCAAACACTGCTTCCATACTAACCAGGTGGATTTTTACTGCCCAGAATTTTTCTATGATGAACATATAGTTATGTATTTATATATAAAATGTTGGCATGCTTATACTTGGTACAACCCTATAATTGTTTATATACAATTCTCACTGTTGTCTGTAATGCATTTAAGAAGTTTATTGTTTGGGAACTTGATGCTTGGAACCTTCTAGACCAGGCATATATTTTCTGATATGTACACAGTACAAGATACTATATTGGTACTGTACTGTACATTCATACTCCGTGACATCCCTTGAGTATTTCTATGCCACTTATTTTTTTCCGTGAAACTTACCAATATACATTTTTTTCACCATCATTTTATAGTTGTTATTGCCTGAAGCTTTCCAGCAGTAAGCATATGTAATCATATAATCATATAAGATTTGGGTATATTCATGCTCAGTACCATCAAATGAGTACAGTATTTGTACAGTAGTACGTCGATTTAAAGCGATTCAATTTAAGATTATTGATTTAAAGCGACACCCACAATTAAGGACAACGTTTTAATTTAAAGTGAATCTTTCCTATTTTGCACGAGTCAATCTGGCGCATCATATTTTAAAATTCGCGCCTAATGTTTCTCTGGGCATGCTACACTGTCCTAAGGGCAAAGCTGTACTGTACATGTACTCAAAGTAATGTACTAAATGATTAATGTACTAAATGATTACAGTATATTCAAATTAATCACTATCTTATAAGAATTCCAGCAATGTAAATTATATTCTCCCCAGTCAATTCTGTGACATTTTATAAACAAAAAACAAAAACTCAATCTAAGGACATAAATAAACAAATAATACTTTACTAGACCTTTGGCACCAACTGTCAAACATGTCACTGTCACCTCCCCTTCCTCCCTCCCTCCCTTCCAGCTAGGGTTTGGTGGTTATAGGCTTACAGCTTTTATCTTATATAATATCACAGACTAAAGTTAGCAGAACATAATTTGCATTGCTAGAATCTTTGCAAGACAGCGAATAATTTGAATATAAATGTCATATATTTTGCACGAGATAAAATTTTTAGCCATTTGTAATATGTTTCCTAATTAGAACTAAAATTTGTATGTCTAATGCAAACTATAGCATGATTATATTCAAATTAATCACTATCTTATAAGAATTCCAAAAATGTAAATTATATTCTCCCCAGTCACTTCTGTGACATTTTACTGTATAAACAAAAACCCAATCTAAAGGACATAAATAAACAAATAAATACTTCACCAAACCTTCCACCAACTGTCAAACATGTCACTGCTCCCCCCCCATCTTGCCAGCCAGGGTTGGGTAGTTATAGGCTTACAGTTTTTATCTTATATAATATCACAGACTAAAGTTAGCAGAATATAATTTGCATTGCCGGAATCTTTGCAAGACAGCGAATAATTTGAATATAAAAGTCATATATTTTGCACAAGAGATAAAAATTTTAGCCTTTTGTAATAAAATTAATTAGAACATGTCAGTTCAGTGACATTTTATATGAGAAAAACTTAAAAGTCACTCTTAAGGACAGATAAATAAATAAGCACTAGACCTTGGCATCAACTGTCAAACATATCACCTCACCTTTCGCCCCCCCACAAAACTTCCCATCAGCTGATCGCTAGTAAACAGACCATTTCACGTCCCATAATTTGAGCTGTATTGATTTATGAGTGTTTGTTTTAACATAATACTACAAAAAACAATGTTTTGTTTATTCTAGGAGATGGGCTGAGGTGCATCTGGGTAGACTCTCAGTCTTTTTAGTATTTTGTGTTTCTCTCAAGTACCAAACTAAATTATTCCATTGAAACAACACTTCGATTAAGTGCGAATTCGGTTTAAAGTGACCTCTCTTTAAACGTATATCGTGTTATATCGACGTTCTACTGTATAAGACTAACTGTTGACACTAGAGCATAATGGAAGGTGATATTTTTTCTTCAGCTGGATTTTTTAATATATCATAAGATTGGCTGCAAAACCTCAAGAACAAAAACATGAAATGTTCAATGTTCTTCATCAATATCCACATATTTAAGGTGTACAGGACAGTACAGGTACTTCTATCATATTTCCTGAAGTTATGAATGATCACAAAAGTACAGTAGTTGGATTTGTTTGTCTTTCTGTCTACTATAGTTTACCTGTGCACATATAAGGCATGCACATACACAGACCCCCCCTTTTTTTTTGCTGTCTCTTAGAGGTGAATATGACAAAAATATGGAAAGTTTATATGATGTCACCTTGTTGGTGAACTCAAAGATGGCTAAACAGCCCAACATGGTGATTGGCAAGGTTGTGTACAGAGCTTGCAAATATGGAGGGGTATATCTGGTGCAGGGTGTGTAGCAGTTGCATCTTTGCAACCTTGGCACTTATCTGCCTCAGCTCAGTGTGCAATCGATCAACCCCAAAGGTGTTTAAACCCTCTCCAAACATCACAGTTAGGGAGTAATGATTTCCCAGGTGCAGGTATTGATTTGGAAATTTATTAGGTTTGCCATAAAAATGTACTTGCACCTCTTCCATTGCCACAAGTACTGTATTGTACTAAGTTTACCAGTCTTTAAAAGGCTGTGGAGTAGTTGCTTTGACAGTCTTCTGTCCTGAGCTACTGCATGTTGGCCCCAATGCTCCAACAATTGGTGAAAATGAGGATATTGACATTTGTCTTCCTGACTTCCCAGAGAATTGATCATAGACTATGTTTGTGATAACTTTCAAGAGACTTGAGATGTTGTCTATAAGTGACCCATATCTTACTGCCATAGAGTAGGGTAGGGTCCAATACCGATAGGCACACATGTAAACATACATTTTTCCCCAAACCTCCCTTCTCACTCTCTGGTACATGAGCATGCAAAATATCTCGTCTTTCATTCTATGACCCATAATATTCCTGGACTAATCTCATTATATTCTCTCACACTACTCAACAATTCATTACTCAACAACAATACTACACCATTCACTCTTATAACATTAGACACTCCTGACTTTACTTCCACAGCTCACCTTAGCTTTGTTTCACTCAAAATCTGGACATTCTAGTTCCTTTCACCCATCAAAGTTTCATTCACTCCCTCTACATACACACACATTCAAAATGCCTGTCTTACTTTTTACTGTTTCGTCCTGGCAACTGAACACAAGATGATGAAGTTACTTACCTCACACTTCCAGACAAGGGAGGAGGGGCATTACATGAGAATGGTACACACAGCCTAAGCCCAAGCATAGGTTACCATTATTGAGAAGCCTTTCTAAAGATAAGGTTGCTACTCTTAAATCAACTCCACAGCTGACTATTTACATCTTGTGCACATGTTATTTTTCTCAAATTCCCAACAATATTATATTACAACTAACAAACAAGCTGGCTATAAAATTAGAGTATTTAAATATTTCTTAAAATACAGTAAACAAAGAAAAGAAAAAAGAACAAAGTCCTTGATTAATCCAAAACAATTCTTAGTAATTGAGAAAAGGATTCTACATAAAGAAATATTATACTCTGAGTGTTATCTTCATAAAGCTGCAACTGTGTGTAATATTTCCTTACTGTGTCTTTGTGCTTCAGAGAGTTGTTGCGGTCAAGGAGGCCGGCAGCATGACTGAACAAGCGGTCTGCCAACTTTGCTATGATGAATAGCACCTTGAATGTTCCTGCCACATGATCAGCCAACCTGAAAACCAATTTGTATCATATTAAACTCCCAAAAGACCTGAAATATAGGAAACATACAACTAACATACAGTTGAAGTTGATAAACCAAGCATCCAAAAGTGTGTGAACAGAAATGGAGGACTGAATCATGAAATTTTATTTTATAACTGAGGGGAGAAGACGGGTAACATGTGAGATACCTGCTCTAAGATTTCCCTCTTCATGATTTTCCAAGAAAAGGGGAAAGGGAGGTGCATCTACTCATATACGCAATGTGAAGTATAATTTTTTTATTTAGCTCATAAAATTCATACAAATTATCCGGCCAGAATATAATTTACATTGCTGGAATTCTTACAATTTGATGATCATTTTGAATATAAGCATCATAGATTTTGCATTAGACATACAAATTTTAGATCTAATGTAATAATTTGGTTTACACAAAGCAAATATTTTATCGTTTGTGCAGAATATATGAAGTTTACATTCAAAATATTCACCTGACCTGCAAGGAATCCAGAAATGTCAATTATATTATCCTAACTTTAGTCCGAGTTATTATTTATTACTAAAAATGTAAATATACTATTTTCTCCCAAAGCTTCTCTGGTAGGGAGGGAGGGACCGACCCAGCTAGGGCGGAGTATTTTGATTGACAGATAGTGTCCTTGAAGAATATTTCTTTGTTTATTTACTGAAGATATATGTTTTAGCTCATAAAATTCATACAAATTACCCGGCCAGAATATAATTTACATTGCTGGAATTCTTACAATATGATGATCATTTTGAATATAAACATCATGGATTTTGCATTAGACATACAAATTTTAGATCTAATGTAATAATTTGGTTTACACAAAACAAATATCTTATCTTTTGTGCAAAATATATGAAGTTTACATTCAAAATATTCCCTGACCTGCAAGGAATCCAGAAATGTCAATTATATTATCCTAACTTTAGTCTGAGGTATTATTTATTACTAAAAGTTAAGATCTAGTGTTTCACCCAAATATTTCTCTGGGAGGGAGGGAAGGTGGGGGGTGGGGGGGAGGGTTGGGACCGACTGACCCAGCTGGCGTGAGTGTGAGGAGGGGGGGGAGGCAAGGTGGCGTACTTTGATTGACAGATAGTGTCGTGAAGAATATTTTTTTTTTTTATAAACTGAAGATATTTGTTTTAGCTCATAAAATTCATACAAATTACCAGGCCAGAATATAATCTACATTGCTGGAATTCTTACAATATGATGATTATTTTGAATATAAACATCACGGATTTTGCATTAGACATACAAATTTTAGATCTAATGTAATAATTTGGTTTACACAAAGCAAATATTTTATCTTTTGTGCAAAATATATGAAGTTTACATTCAAAATATTCCCTGACCTGCAAGGAATCCAGAAATATAAATTATATTATCCTAACTTTAGTCTGAGGTATTATTTATTACTAAACGTTAAAATCTAGGGTTTTCACCCAAACATTTCTCAGAGAGGTAGGAGCTAGTGAGCTGGGAAGAGGGGGGGGATTTGAGTTCATTATTTGAATGGACATTAACCGGGCGACTGTATTTCTCTTAAATATTAATTGTGTGAGCATACCATCATAAAATTTAGATGTTATTTTTACTACAACATAGGTATTGTGTCGGAAAAATTGAGTTTGGGGGTCGGGCCAGTCTCTATTGGAATTAATCCCATATGTTCTGTTGTTCACTTTCCGCGGTACCCTGTGGGTTCAATTGACCGCGTAAATTGGGGTACTACTGTGTTCACGTTTTGCTGGATTCGGTAAAATGCTACTGACACCACATAAGAGGCACGGGCAGTTTCCCAATGAGGTTCACGGCGCCATCAGCTCGATGAACAGGCTTTGTGTGAAATATAACAGAGTCTAGAACTGCTTTTAGTGTCCTTGTGGCCTAGCCGGTAAGCGTTCCCTAGTCCCACCCAGTAGGTCGAGGGTTCGATTCCTTGCTGGTGAGGTCGTTGATTATATATATATATATATATATATATATATATATATATATATATATATATATATATATATATATATATAATTTTTTTTTTTTTTCTTTTTTAGTCATATAACACTACAAGGACTGCTCAAATATTCTATATGATTGAACAGTTAATGTCAGGATTAACTATAAAATATCTGCCATGCTACATTATAGTAAGTAAAGTTAGTTCGTTTGTTTAAAAGTTCAGAACAGAAGCTTGATTATTCATGAAAATTACACAAGATAAAATAAAAAGTGATGTGCAAGACTGGGATGAATGAAAATGAGTAGTACTGTACATATATGAGAGAGCCTACATGATCCATATACTGTATGTAAAGCTGAGAGCACACTTTGAAACAGCAGGGATAGTCCAAGCATGTACCGCAGTCAGAGTGGGAATTCAGCTTTGAAGCTAACATCATGGGAGTGCATGTTAGTGATTGCAAGCACATCATGCTGATCCATAGGACAGTGTCTCTAGAACATGGTGAGTATAACAAGGTGCTCTAGTGGAGGTTTATAACAGGTCAATCATTGACAACCCATAAGCTCTAAATACTGTACAGTGACCCCTCGGTTAACGAACTCAATCCGTTCCAGAAGGTCATTCGTTAACCGAAAAGTTCGTTAAACGAAACCATTGTTTCAATGGGTTTTTGGGTAATTGGTTCCAGCTCACCGAAAATTTCCTAAATTCAACAAAAATGGTAAAAAAGTTCACTTACTTTGAGGTGTGTATGTAGAAGGCTCCTGGATGATGATGATGATGATGGGAATTAGAATGGGGGTGGAGGAGAAGGAAGAAGAGAAGGCATTGGGGTGGAAGAGAAGTCACCCCATGGCACCATTTCACCCATAAAATTTTAGTTCTCTTGGTGTATTTCAAGATTATTTTCTTTAAATCAACACTGCACTGCATTATATATTGTCAATATGTAAAATATATTTCAAAATGACCAATAATTTGCTTGGAAACACAGAAAAAAAGTGTTTAGTTGAAGAGAGTCTCAAGCAAGATGTTACCTCCACTGAAAACAGAGAGAGACTAACGCCTGTCTGGTATGTTAACAGGCTGGATGGCACGCCAGAAACTAGTTTCTTTACCTTCAATTATGTTCAATAATTGATAAAATGACTAAAAAAGTTAATATTAAACTTTTAAAATTATTGAATAGTATAAACTTCTTGATATTTACTAAAATAGTAAGGAATTTAAGCCCTAAAACCGATTACTGTATTGGCGGACTGATACTAAAGCTGGTTGCCCGGTCAGTGCAAGCGAAAACATGTTGAGGTCGGTTCGTAAGAAATTCATTAACCGAATTTTTTTTCATTAACCGTTTGTTAAACGAGGGGTCACTGTATACAGTATGCATGTATGCAGGTACATGTGCAGAAGCATCTACCTGTATGTGATGGTTTGTAAAAGACAAGTAAATGCATGATGTTGTTTACATGTAAATGACTAATGGGACTAGTTTGCACATACAGTATAGGGTTAATTGTGTATGTATGTATGTATTGATATAACAAAATGTAAGTAATTTTGTAATATAAGAGTACCTGCATTCCAACATTTCGAGAGTACAAGCAGTGGATTGTTTCGTACTGTATAATTTTCCAATACCAGTTATGAGGTTTAACTTCTGGAAAACAGGCGAATAGAAAAAGAAGGCACCAGTTTACCTATAGAATGTTATTAGCCTTGAAGGATTTTCTTCAGTAGCATCAACTGCCCAGGACTGCAGTGACAGGAAGATGGCAATGTTGTCATGCTCATTGAGGCGTAGCAGTAGTTTTCCTAGGGCACACGATACATTCATCTCCACTGTACAGATGGTTTCAGAATCACCCTGGAAAATAAACAGTAAATGTTATAGAAATTTACCAGTTCATAAAAATAAATCTTGCAGTACAGTATTTACATAATCCTCATATGCATCACAAGCAATGTTAACCCTGTTGTTATATGAACCCGCTGTAATAACTATTTTATATACAATAATGTATTTATTATGTCTCCCCTCTCATGAACTTGTTCTTTCATATTTCTTTATTGTTTCATCTCTCTTATTATTAATCTACCATCCTTCCTCGCTTCCAGAAAAAAACAAGGAAAATAGATCCTGGTGTAAAATATATCAAATACAGTCAGTCCTCGACTTACGACGGGGTTAGGGACCGACGTCCAGGTCTTAAGTCGAATTGATTGTAAGTCGAAAATACGAAAATAATACATAAAAAATCTAAAATGGGTGTCTCTTTTTCTTCTCAGCACCACGAGAACTCTCACTTTTAAGTTTGCCAGCCATTTTAAAGGGACTCACAAACTAAAAAATTTTCAGTACACAGCGCGATCACTAATGTCGGGACTCGAAAATACATAATTTGAAAAATATTTTATATGGTTGCGGCGGTCGTAAGTCGAGGAGTACCTGTAATAAATTCATGATGATTAAAAAATTAATAACTTCAAAATTAATGAAATCTTCACAAAAATTCACACCTTTCTCAACTTTTTAACATATTCTAATAGAATAGTCTCAGTATTTTGCAATGCTTTGGGACCACGCCTATTGTGGAACAATGAATTCTGTGACACGCACGCACGCACGCACGCACGCACACACACACACACACACACACACACACACACACACACACTGCCAATCAATATGAAATCCTTAAAACAAGTATAATATTGTACTATAATACAGAACATACAGACCATGGCACTACATAGTTATGTTCCTGAAACTACCATAATATACTGTACCAGTTTGAGAGTGACTTTCTCAACAATTAATTATCTGTACAGTACTGTAATAGTAATGGGAAAATTAGTTAAGTCTCTCTATGTGTTTTTTTTTGTTTTGTTTTTTACCTACGTATACTGTACAACATACATGTATTTGTCCTAATAGTATATAAATATGAATGGTAAGGGGTGAAATAAATGTTCTCACTTAACCTTGCCAAATCATTGATTATTATACTTATAAATATATATTTCTGAGCCCTTTCAATGTAAAATAGCCCAAACTGTGGTACTGTGAAGTGTGAAATACTGTACTAAGTGTCTACTCCGTGCTTTGTTATTAATAAAGCATGGAGTTGACTTGAGGGTAGACTCTAACATTTTTAATAAAATTTGTTTCTGATTATTTGTGAGAGGATTTTCCCATTATTATTTATTTGTATGTGTTTTGTGTGTGTGTATCAACACACACAAACATACACATATATACAATACAGGTAAAAGAAATTACTCTCTCTAGAACGAATGGCTCCTTGTCCCGGCCGTAAAAATGCTAGCAACTTTAAAACTACTGTACCCTTACACATTCTTGGGTACATCCAGGGTGTCATCCGCGAATAATTGAGGTCCACAAATTGTCAGGGCATGCTGTACTTATTTTTTTACATTAAACTACTTACACATGGCAAGTATCTAATACTAAAATGATATACGTACTGTACTGTACAGGGCATCTCTGAGCTATTCATAAATAAACACACACCCCCTCTAAAATGTTCCCTCATGAATTTTCATATTACCTCAAGTAATTCTGTGATACATACAGTAACCTACTCCAATTCACTTTCATTAAATATATCATTGTAGTTTATATTAGTTGATCTTTCAATATCTGAAATCAAGTGTGAAAAGAAGCATTACTACCTTTTGTGTCCTCAGGTCCATTGCTTGTGTGAACAGGTTGAGCAGAGCAGGCTTGTGGCTCATCAGAGTTTTACCATCTACATGAGTAACAAGCCTCTCCACCATCACCATGAAGGTCTGTAGGGCAGGGACTTCAGTCTCCGACAATATTTTATACGCCTGCAAAAATATTAAATGGAGTTGAAATGATAAATTAATTCAAACATTTAATTTTCTAATTGAGACTGAACTTGATGACCTGTGTTATACAACCAGCGAAGTGTAGGGCATTAAAACCCCAGTCAACCCTCAACCCACCATAGCTAGAACCCTTAAAAGAGTTTCTCAGAAATAGAAGTTGTCATCAGAACCAAATACTTGATGAGTCATTCTCATGTAAGGAGTGCATATCCCTCCAGTCCATTTCAGCTGCTTTCATTAAGGGTAAGTCAGGGTTTAACCCACTTGACTCAGCTGACTGTATATCAATCAAGTTTAGAAGAGACTAATTTAAATTCTAGCATTAAAGTTGTCTAAATTTTCATTATAAATTGTCTTGAGAAGTATAAAATAGATACAGTAGGTCATATATTCATCACTTCGACAGGAATTAAAAGCATAAGTGATTAAATGTTTAAAAAGGTTAAAACGCACGCACGCACTCATGCACGCACGCATGCACGCACACACACACACGTGAGGTCCCTCATAACACCATCTGTGAGGGAATTACTACACCACATCAGGTCCCTCATAACACCATCTGAGGGAATTACTACACCAAGTCAGGTCCCTCATAACACCATCTGTGAGGGAATTACTACACCACGTGAGGTCCCTCATAACACCATCTGTGAGGGAATTACTACACCACGTCAGGTCCCTCATAACACCATCTGGGCACCCATGTGGGGAATTACTACACCACATCAGGTCCCTCATAACACCATCTGTGAGGGAATTACTACACCACATCAGGTCCCTCATAACACCATCTGTGAGGGAATTACTACACCACATCAGGTCCCTCATAACACCATCTGTGAGGGAATTACTACACCACGTGAGGCCCCTCATAACACCATCTGTGAGGGAACTACTACACCACCATCAGGTCCCTCATAACACCATCTGTGAGGGAATTACTACACCACGTGAGGTCCCTCATAACACCATCTGTGAGGGAATTACTACACCACATGAGGTCCCTCATAACACCATCTGTGAGGGAATTACTACACCACGTGGTCCCTCATAACACCATCTGTGAGGGAATTACTACACCAATCAGGTCCCTCATAACACCATCTGTGAGGGAATTACTACACCACGTCAGGTCCCTCATAACACCATCTGTGAGGGAATTACTACACCACATGAGGTCCCTCATAACACCATCTGTGAGGGAATTACTACACCAGTCAGGTCCCTCATAACACCATCTGTGAGGGAATTACTACACCACATGAGGTCCCTCATAACACCATCTGTGAGGGAATTACTACACCATGTCAGGTCCCTCATAACACCATCTGTGAGGGAATTACTACACCATGTGAGGTCCCTCATAACACCATCTGTGAGGGAATTACTACACCATGTCAGGTCCCTCATAACACCATCTGTGAGGGAATTACTACACCATGTCAGGTCCCTCATAACACCATCTGTGAGGGAATTACTACACCATGTCAGGTCCCTCATAACACCATCTGTGAGGGAATTACTACACCATGTCAGGTCCCTCATAACACCATCTGTGAGGGAATTACTACACCATGTGAGGTCCCTCATAACACCATCTGTGAGGGAGTTACTACATTACGTGTTTGCTGTTCAACACCTAAATTAATTTGTATGTTCACTGTATATTCCTTTACCTTTCTCTAATGAAGGCTTTTGTTAAACCACCACTGTATGTAATAAGTCATTTATGTCCAATGTTTATTTTCAGCCTTCGGGCTGCGGAACTTTTTCAATAAACCGTTAATTGTTATTATTAATATTTACACACACACACACACAGACAGTACCAGTCACAAAAACAAACCATTTCTGCATCCAAAATTTTAGCGAGCCATATTCCTTTCAGGAACAATTTCTAAAATCATAACATTTAATTTCACTGACCTTTGTTAACTTGGGGATGAGTACACGAGGTTCAATCTGTTTCACCAATGTGTCCCTGACCACGCCCAGCCTCATAACTAGCCGAGACTCCTTTGCAGAAGCCCCCTCCTTACTGGTATAAAGGCGACACACACCACAAACTAGTGATTCCAGATATGGAGACAGCAACTGTGGCACATTCTCAAATAGCTGTAGAGGCAAGAAAATTTCAAGGTTACATTAGTGGATGTTGAATTTCATATTAATATTCAGAATAATATTTCCTATTTCTCTATCTCCCTTCTGTACTACCTGTACTTATCATTTCAAAGCATTAAGTTCCACAAAAAACTTTTCTCTACATAAGTGATAGTGGTTTGGCCTAACTACAGGTAGGAGTTCATTACTAGTGGTTTACCCTAGTGACAGATAAGAGCAATCTAGGACTAAAACAGACTGGTCACTGACCTTATGAGTTGCTGTGACAGCTGCCAAAAGCAAATGTTCAGAGTCTTGGTCCCCGTCCAACAGTTTAATAACAATGGGCATGAGTTGCCCCAGATGTGCGATACAGTGAGCTTTGAGGGCCACCACAGCCTCCGACACCACCAACAACGCCTGCGTCATTAGCCTTGGGTCTTCCTCTAATAATAATAATAATAATAATAATAATAATAATAATAATAATAATAATAATAATAATAATAATAATAATAACAATAACAATAATAATAATAATAATAATAATAATAATAATAATAATAATTATAATAATATTAATAACAATAAAATAGTAAAAAATAACATAAATAAACATATCCTAAAAAAAGTTAAGAATAAAATTTTATTAGTCAATTAAAAAACAGTACACGAACAGAAAAAAAATAAAATAAAAATGCTAATAAATATGAAAGTAAAAAATTGCTGTACAGTATATGAAGACAACCATATTTAAGATAAGAATTAAGAAGTCATCTATTAAAAAATGAAGGATTGACTCTTATATATATGGACCATTTTATGACTGAGCCTGAAACTAAGCAGCTCACTAAGCCATCAGTTTAGGACCTAGACCTCAACATGTATGGCCAGTTGAAATCTACATGATCAGCAGCCTTCTCTTTATAAAGTCCTAAAGGGGGTAATGGGAAAGCAAAGATTTTCCCTCAGTGACACAAGAGGGCTGGTCAGGTAAACACATGATATAAGAGATACAATTGTATACCCTGTATTTTGCGATCTGGGTCAGCCATAATGGTCCTCCAGCTCTCAGCAAGGTTAGAGCTGGAACATTGCATCCTTGCTCCACAGGAGACTGGGGTCTGAAGTGGTTTATCAGGTTTGAACACTTTGTAACCAATAACAAGTGACCAGATCACAGCAAAACTCTAAAGGATTCTCCCTTTGTATGGTAAGTATAGATTTTTACCAATTGGATACCCTTTAGGAACCAGGTATTGTATGGGGCTGAAGAAAAATCTAGTTATTATATAAGGCGCCTAGAACAGGAGTGGTGTAAGCGCCAAAATCACGATTTGAAGATATGGCCACAGGCGTGTTCACTGGCCTTTGTTCTACATGGTCAAGCCTGACTGATTGTTGCTTACACCGCCGCAAGGTCGAGAATTCCATTGAAGGAGCACGTAACTAATATACCGTTTCGTGAAAATTTGGCAATATTGACTTTTTTTTTCCTTCGGGGATATGGGGCTCAATTTTCCACAGGCAACATCCCTTATACAGTCCAACTTTTGTGGAAAGTTTAATTGAAATCCATGCAGTAGTTTCCATGGTACATAAACTTTAAATGCAATTTACTCAAAACAGGCATTTTGGAGATAAGCCATTCCCATTCTAGGCGTCTCGTATATACAGGTATTTCGTTTTAGACCCTAGCCACAGGTTGGGGTCCTGGGGTGATGACCTCTAGACATGCTAAGTACAGTATATAGAGTTGCAAAACCCTAACTACTATGGCAAAACTTCTTTTCTGATGAATTTGTGAGAAATTCCAGGTGAGAATCCTGCAGAATAGAAGAAACAGGCATCAAACTAGCTTTCTCTTCTTTTCCAGCTCAATTTGGAAGAAGAATCCAAGGGGGAAGAAAAGGAAGAATACTCAATTCTAGTTTCCCTTGAGAAATCTTACTCACAAACTCAATTGAGAGAGCCAAGGGTACTTGATTGTACACTGCAAATTTCTACAGCAACCATGCACATGGCAGGATATACTAAGTTCTCACCATATTGTGAGGCCTTCCCAAAGGAGAGAAACTAATGACAAAACTACTGGAGAAACTACCACTACAGACCTGCATACTTGAGGTAGTGCTCAACAGAACTGCTCCTTCTATATTTAGCCCAAGTTATGTCCCCTTTTCTGAAGGCTTGACAGAGGCCCTCTCCCTATGTTAACTTTGACATTCTCAAAGGAAGACCCCTTTCTTGCAGCCTCTCCCTCTATTACAGTCCCCTTGAAAGGAAAGCTTTACTTGCTGAAAATTTGAAATGTCCAACCAGTCTGGATATGTTGCCTCCAACTAAATCCAAAACTGAACACCAATCATAAAAACTGGGGCTCAAAGAACCCTTCGTATAGAAATCACATAATTATGTTATACAGTATAGAATATGAACCTAAGTTAAGAAACTCAGAATTCTTCATTTCAATATGTCAAACAAATTCTTCCTAGTAGCCATTTTAAACAAATCTCCAGACCAGTAAGTCCTCGTTCAGGTCATCTACTACCTGCTGGTTCTGGTGACCCAGAAAAATGTTCCATAATCACCTTTCACATGTAATTAAAGTATTTCCTAATGGTGTTGACCTACATCACCAAACCCAATACCAGAAGGGGAGGATAACCAGGTCTCTGGATGCATCTCCAACCCTGCACCTTAAATTCCTCTATCTTCTGCCACAGTCACTGGAGGACGATGAAACACTTTAACCTGCCGTGGCCTTACACCTTGAACTAGTCTTATCTGTCTCATTGCCATCAACTGCCAACCTTTCATTAACAGTAATTTTGCTGTACCCTGGTTACCTGAATCAAGCACAACTGCAAGCAGAGGGTGGGTCAAGGAGACAAAGCTAATAAAGGTGACAGGACTACGAACAGCAATGATGAAATAAAAATTAAATGAGAAAAAAAATTAATGACTATAAGGTGATGCCTATAGTGTGGTTTTTTCCCAGTTGAGAAAAGATGCCCCGCCCCCTCCTCAAGAGTTACAGCTGATTGGCTGTTGCAAATCTGTTCGATTTTGTCCTGAAGTAATGATGTATTTCTAAATGAGTTTATTCATAATTGTTGGGATGACTGTTTCTGGCGAGAAAGATATTTCGCTAAATTATATAAAGATACTTATATTCATTATTTCAAACAGGAACACATAGGAAGTTTATCAGAAATCTTATACATGAATTAACTGTTAAACTCTGGTAACAAATTTACGCTTTCAGAGGACGCATATAATATACTGTACAGATACTCCTCGACTTACGTCCACCCGCACTTACGACCTGCATCAGTCGTACCAAAATTTGGTCAAATTACGTATTTTTGAGTTCCAAAGTCAGTACACAGATAAAATTTTCATCTGTAATTCACTTTAAAATGGCTGGCAAGCTTAAAGGTGAGTTTTGTGGTGCTGAGAAGAAAAAGAGACATCCATTTTCGATTTTCTATGTGTTATTTAAGCATTTCTGACTTACGACCTGGATGTCGGTCCCTAACCTCACCGTAAGTTGGGGAGTACCTATATACTTATTTTTACCCACAATAAGTCATACTAAGACGAATTACTTATCAGTAAAACTACATTATACAAAAAATAGCATTTTAAAAGATCAGAATCACATTGAAATATTACACGGCCCCTGAAAATTGGTGAATGAGTGTGACAGACTTGGTCGCTCCAGCGAACAGCCATCAGCACAGGCGGGAAAATATGAAGTTGTTCTCAGTCATATTTCCCGCCTCTGCTGACGGTCGTGTAATATTTCAATGTGATTCTGATCTTTTAAAATGTTGTTTTTACATAATGTAGTATTACTGATACGTAATTTATCTTAGTGTGCCCTATTGTGGGTAAAAATAAGTACTACAGTATATATTAAATGCATCCTCCGAAAGCGTGAATTTGCTACCTGAGTTGAACAGTTAATTCACGAATAAGATTTCTGATAAACTTCCTACGTGCTTATGTTTGAAATAATAAAGGTAAGTATCTTTCTTGTCAACAACAGTCATCCCAACGATTATCAATAAACTCATTTAGAAATACATCATTACTTCAGGACAAAAACGGACAGGTTTGCAACAGCCAATCAGCTGTAACTCTTGAGGAGGGGGCGGGGCATCTTTTCTCAGCTGGGCAAAATGCGCTATAACAAACTTTTGGTTGTTTCAGTTACAAGGGTCAACCTAATGCCCAACTTCCTGAATTTACTTATAAATAATCTTTTTAATTATTTTTTTTTACTGAAACATCTTCCTCGGTATCATGCAAAACTATTTCATAAAAGTTGAAGCAAAGATGCTCTAGAAAATATTGTAATTTGTAAAGTACTTACCCCCACAGACAAGGTTTACTCCAGCAGCCAGAACAGATTGAATCTTTTTTTCGGGCACTTGAGATGCCACAAGTTTGGTTAGTAAGTGAAGAGTAAAGAGGGCTGTCTGTCTGTTGTCTGGTGGTTCTTTGCTGTTCAAGGCCACTTTACGCAAAATTTTTATGAATGGCTCTAAACTCTCAATGTCTTCTTCACTGTAAAAATAAAATATAAGAAAAATTAAATATTATAAAGAATATATACAGTCCAGGAAAGAAGTAAATCAATTAGTTGGTTCTTAAAGAATTTTCATATTATTGGTATCCATATTTTAATTTTTATTCATCAATAAGAGTTTTGAGAGACTTTTAACCAGACTAATAATTTTTCTTTTTTCATCCATACAAGACACACAGGTGCTAATCTACCGATTGTTCTTTACATTTAGCAGCTACTGGGTCATCCTACCCTCTAGCAGGAAGCTAATTCACAGAAGTCTTACTCCACCATCAGTACTAGCACCTGATAGTGCACAGTACTCATTTAATGTTGGGTACACAAGGACTAGCGCACAAGGAGGAAACCTAATCAGCCACTCTAGTCAGGGATTGACCCTAAAAATTATCTCTTGTGAGGTGAACATTATATTAACTAAGCTAAAGCCACTAAATATAAAGTTGCGAGTGACCATGAAACCTTATAAAACCTTGTACAGTGGTCCCTCGGTTAACGAATTACTTTCCATAAGAATCTTCAATTAGGGTAACGAAAAAAATTTGATTAACGAAATTCTTACGAAAACATGTCAACATGTTTTGGCTTGCTCATCAGCTGGTGGGTTAGTCTGCCAATACAGTAATCGGTTCTAGGCTTACATTCGTTTCCATTGGAGTAAATATCACGAAGTTTGTGCTTTTCAATATTTTTCCAAGTTTTATATTAAAATTATTAGTCATTTTAACACTTATTTAACATAATTGCAGTACAGGGAACTAGTTTTTGGTGCGCCCAACAGCCACTTCACTCAACCACCAAGGCGTCTGTTTAAGTCTCTGTTCAGTGGAGGAAACATCTTGCTTGTGGGTCTCTTGAACACAGAGTATTTTTACATTTTTACAGTACAATTATTGGTCATTCTGAAATTTATTTAACATATTGATAATATATAGCGCAGTGCAGTGTTGATTTAAAAAAATAATCATAAATTACAACTAGTGAACTTAAAATTTTAGTGGTGAAATTACTGTATTGAATCCAGCAATTTCAATTCAAGTGAAACAGGAAATCATTAAGAAACATGAAGAAGGCGTTAGAACAAATGTGCTTAGTAAAGAATATGGCATGTCGGCATCAACTGTGTCGACAATTCTTGCACAGAAAGACAAGTTCAAAGAAGTGAAAGTGAGAGACAAATCTACCAGAGTGTTTAAAGGTAGATCATTAATTGCAGAAACAGAGAGGTTACTTCTTATTTGGATTAAGTAAAACAAATGAAAGGAGATTCAATTTCTACTGAATTTATTTGTGAAAGAGCCAGGGAAATTTACGAACATTTGAAGGAAGAGCAAGCTAGTTCTTCTGAAACTGAGTTTGAAGATTTTAGGGCTAGCAAGGGCTGGTTCGATAAATTTAAGAAAAGAAGTGCATATAAAGATGGAGCAGCAAAATTTGTAGTGGAGTTTCAGGAACTGGTGGATGAAGAAAATTATATTCCACAGCAAGTGTTCAATGTGGATGAAACTGGGCTGTTCTGGAAGAAAATGCCCGAAAGGACATTCATCACAAGAGATGAAGACTTTACCAGGGCATAAACTCATGAAGAACCGTCTCACTCTATTGCTTGGTGCCAATGTTTCAGGGGATTTCCGACTGAAGCCTTTGCTTGTCTACCACTCTGAAAACCCCAGGGTGTTCAAGCAACAAAAGGTGGTAAGAGGACAACTTGGTGTTTATTGGAAGTCCAACCGTAAGGCATGGGTGACAAGACAGCTCTTTAATGAATGGGCTGTTGAGGTGTTTTGCCCTTCTGTGAAGAGCTACCTAACCACCAATAAACTCCCTTTAAAGGCTCTTCTCCTTATGGATAATGCCCCTGGTCATGACCCTGAACTTGCCAGCACTTTGGAGGCTCGATTTGACTTTGTCAAAGTGTTGTTTTTGCCTCCCAACACTACATAAATTATGCAGCCAATGGACCAGAATGTAATCAGCAACTTCAAGAAGTTGTACATGAAGAAAATGTTCAGAAGGTGTCATCAGGCAACTTCCACTGATCCTGATCTATCACTGGCACAGTTCTGGAAGATGCAATACAACCTGGAGGCTGTAAAAGTGACAGTGTCATCATGGCAAGAAGTCTCCAGTTGATCCCTGAATTCTGCATGGAAAGCACTGTGGCCATCAGCAGTCCATGATTTTCAGGGATTTGAGGAAGAAACAGAGTTGGACAAGGAGATAGATTGTGTCCATTGGTCAGTCAATGGGACTCGACATGGAGGAGGATGATGTGGAAGATCTTGTAATGTCTCATGAGCATGAACTTACTCCTGAAGACTTGTAGCAACTGGATGAGATGTTAGAAACAGACAGTGGTGAGGAGGAAAGGGAAAGTGATGACCATATGACTTCTTCCAATTTAAAAGATGTTGTTTACCACTGAGAGATATTCAGGGAACTGGCATCAAGGCACCCTGATGTGGAAACAACAGAACCTATTTTGTGTACTGTTGAAGACAAAGTGGTCTCCTTCAAAAACCAGTTAATGATGAGGGGGAGTAATGTCCCACAAACCTATTTTGTGTACTGTTGAAGACAAAGTGGTCTCCTTCTTCAAAAACCAGTTAATGATGAGGGGGAGTAATGTCCCACAACCAAAAATTGAGTTTCTTCTCAAAAAGGCAGCAGGAGAAAGATGCTACCCCTCAGCCTTCCACTTCAAAAAGGAGAGAGGATTTTCCTGTTGCAGAATCTGTCAGTCCAGAGGTTCCTGACATTATTATGGAAGGTGACTCGCCTTCCAAGAAGCAGTAAAATGCTTCTCCTCCACCCCCACTTCCTTCTCTTCTCCCTTCTCCTCCTCTTCCACCTCCCACTTCAAATTCACATCAGCATCATCAACCAGGAGCCTTCTACATACATTCCTCAAAGTAAGTGTACTTTACTGCATTTTTTTTTTTTACTTTGTAGGTAATTTTCGGTGAGCTGGAACCAATTACCCAAAATCCCATTGAAATAATGGATTCGGTTAACGAACAACCTTCTGGAACGAATTGTGTTCGTTAACAGAGGGACCACTGTAGTAGTAAAAAACAAACAAGACTGAAAAAAGGTGGTCATTTACAGTGTCAAAATTTTGAACCAATGTTTGTAAGAGCAAATATTGGAATGAAAAATTTACCTAAAAATGTAAAGATACCTCAAGAATTTGTAAAGATTCTGATATCTTAACAGACTTTAAAAATACATGAGACAAAAGACAGGATGAGTGATTGGGGATTATAGCTAAACTAAGGTGTCACCCATGTAAAAATGTTTCACTTGTTGTTATACACGTCATCCTTGATTTAAATTCTAAAAGATTTGCAAGCTAAGAATTTTTCTTCACTGGGGATATAGGAACACATTAAGTTGTACTACACTGAGTCTTGGAAAAATATGGTTATCATCCTTATGACATTGTTTAAGTGATAAAAGTACTGTACTGCAATAGAGAAGAGAGGTTAGTGCAATTCTGATCCTAAATAGAGAATATGCACAAGTCATGTAAAGAATTTTTTTTTTTTTAAATTACCTGAAGAAACTGGCATTTGGCTGAAGTTTTGCACACATTATTTCCAGGGCACGACAACGAACAAGTGGGAGGGGAGAGGTCATAAGCCTTTTTGTAACTTCTATCAACATGGTAGGTGCCAACACTGCATTGACACTATCCACAACATCTACAACCTTTCGCTGCAGAGACAAAAACAAGCGACCTGAAAAGAAAGCATTGCAATATAAGTAGCATGTACCCATCCTATTTACTCTTCAATATATTCAAAGTCAGAAGAGAGCCTACAAAATAATCAATGTTGAAAAGAAATTTATAAGGTTCTCCGGTCTTAACATCCTGTACAGCAGGGGTGGGGAAACTGTGGCCCCCGGATAATTTCTTGCCCGCCAAAGGTCTCAGGATGGCCCACAACCATACTCAAGTTCAGTATTTTTACTCCTTTAAAGGGAGACTCAGGGAGGGTATAAAACTTATCAGTTGATTTGGATGAAATTTACAGGATACATATACAGTCAACCCTCACTTTACGCGGTTAATACAACCCACAGGGTACCGCGGAAAGTGAGAAACGCGTAAAGTGAACAACATAACATATGGGATTAATTGAAATAGAGACCAGCTGACCCCCAAACTCCACTTTTTCCAACACAATACCTATGTTCTAGTAAAAATAACATCTTAATTTTATGATGGTATGCACACAATTAATAATTAAGAGAAATATCAATAATATTAGGTTTTTTAACACTAACATAAGTAGAGAAGATGGCTGGGCACACGGGGATGGGGGGTTGGTTCCAAGGCAGAGGGCAGATTATTGGCCCTCACCTGTATCACTTGTATCACTATCTACCACAGAGGCTTGCAGGGCCTCTTTGTCAAACCCCTCAAAGTCCATATAAGTCCATATCCTCACTATAATTATCACTATCACTGACTTGGGCCGGCTGTGGTGGGTGGCGGGTGAAGAACTCGGTAATGTTTTGATGACTGGGCGACCTTGTGCGCAGCCTGCTCGCGCCGCTTACACAACATGGCGGATGGCGGGAGAGGGCAGGAGAGATGGCGGGAGGTTTGGATCCAAAAATGGCGCGACTCGCCAGCCACTCTCCGCGTAAAGGGGTACACGGACCGCGGAATGTGAGCATCCCGGGTTCCGGCAGGGTACCGCGTAAACGTGGAAACGCGGAATGTGGGACCGCGTAAAGTGAGGGTTGACTGTACACTATTATAAAACTAACTTGCAATAGCAGAACTGCATTTGGATGATGTCCCAGGGTAGCAGTCATACCCATTAAATCTGCATAGATTATTGTTAACACTGAAAAATAATAGGAGGCCCCAAAGAACTCTTATAATTTCAATCTGGCCATCTGACCTCAAAAGATTCCCCACCCTTACTGTACACTATACAGTATTCCCTATCATTTTCTATATTCCAAACTACAAAAGTGCAAATACAGTACTGTACTGTTCTCTCTAAATTTATAAACTACATACAGTGCTTACAAATATTTTTGTGTTGGAAATTGAGGTGTGACAATTCTGTAAATGAAGTATTCATATCTTGTACAGTAGTATGTTAGTGGAATATGCCATAAAAACAAGACTGGGGCAGTTGAGAATAATTAAAAGTAAAAGTGGGTCCTGTAGACCTGACAGTTCATGATGGCAGGACAGATACAGCACATCGTAGGCTAAGTGTGGGCAAGCACTGTACTCAACCACATTCACTTCCTCAAATATAAATTCTGGTACCCTGGGTGGAATGGGGATGCCCCATGTGAGAACCAGTGTCTCTTGGAACAGGAGGCAAGTGCTATATCCACTTGACCACTGCACCTCTGGAGAATTATTGCATATGAGCAAAAAAATTAACTGAGAAGGAAAGTCCAGAAGAAGAGAGATTGAACAGTAATGAAGCATTATGACAAAGAGGAAGTTTTTATTACAGTATTGTAACTCACTTAGCATTTGACAAGAGTAAATAGATTAATGTTAGTTTCTTTTGAAAGCTTTACTAATGCTATATAAACAAAAGACTGCCTTCCTTACATATTACCTCACTATTGGGAATCTGTTGTATTATTATCTTTAACCTTCTACTCATTTGTTTGCACACAAAACTCTATAATACATTTGATTTATAAATATATACTGCCTGTACACACACACCTGACATACAAAATGCCCCATAAAATGCAACTCAGTGTTTAGTACATAAAAAAAAAATAAAAATAAAAATAAATAAATAATAATAATATTAATAATAACACTGGGGAACAAAATTCAACTTTTTGTCAATTGCATACATTTTGAAACCTGTTTCTGGGTAAATTGAGGTCACTGATTTCAAATATGGCACCGGTTTTTTTCTATCGGGTCTAGTTTTGTTGCGGTGAGTTACCTACCATTTACTACTATATATAGTTAGACTACCATATACTACAGCTAAAAATCTAAACCAGCACACAGAGAGGAATTACCAAATACGTAGAATTAATTTTTAATTACTTTTATTTACCTTGACAAGCATATTTTGGATTCATCAGTTGCTTTTGTGAACTATGCCAGATTTATTCAGGCACAAACTTGCGTTTAATGGGGGTCTAGGACAACTGGCCGCCGCCATCTGGCCGCAGCCCATGAAGTGCCTAACCTAACCTTACCTAACCTAACCTGCCTTGAGAGCGCAAAATTAGGCGTTTGCAGTTTACCCCCAGTCCGCGGCGGCCAGATGGCGGCGGCCAGTTGTCCCATTCCCGTTTAATGGACTGTCTTGAATATCGCCTCTCAGTGCAGTCTCGCTGAATGCTCCAGCAATAGTCCGCCATCATGTGAATGTCCCAGCGACCTTGATAACTGTCTTCCATGACTTTGATATCCTGGTGAAAGCGTTCACCTTGCTCATCACTCACGTCCCCCAAGTTTGCCGGAAACAGTTCAAGATGACTGTTTAGGAAATGCATCTTAATGCTCATGTTGCAACCTAACACATGGAAACTTTCCATCAAAGATTCAACGAGCTTTTTTTAGTCCTCTGATTTCCTGTTTCCAAGAAAGTTCCTTACAACAGAAACGAATGCTCCCCATGCATTTCTCTCAACATCAGTCATGGATTGAGTGAAGGCTTGGTCTTTAATCAGCGTCCTAATTTGAGGGCCGTCGAAAATACCTGCTTTGAGTTTTTCTAGCGTTAAACCAGGGAACACTTCACACAGATACTTAAAACAGTCACTGTCAGTATCGAGCGCCTTGACAAACTGTTTCATAAGGCCCAGCTTGATGTGAAGGGGCGGGAAAACAATTTTTTCACGTTCCACTAGGGGTTCATAAATGATGTTCTTTTCCCCAACATTGAGGCTTTCCCTAACTGGCCATTCCTTCTGAATCCAGTGTCTGTCTTTGGCTCTGCTGTCCCAGAGGCAGATAAAGCAAGGAAATTTTGTATACCCACCTTGCTGTCCTAGCAAAAAATTGACCATTTTTAGATCAACACAGATGATCCATTTGTGTTCTTCATATTTGAGTAGCTCCAAAACCGTTTTGATGTGTTCATATTTTTCTTTCAGGTGTACTGAGTGTCCTATGGGTATTGCGCCAAAGATGTTGCCTATATGTAATAAAACACACTTCAGACTCCGCTTAGAGCTATCTATAAAGAGGCGCCACTCTTTCGGATCATAACCTGGAGCTCCCATCGCGGTGACTAATCCAGAAATAAAATAATTGTTTTAATGAAATAAAATAATAATGCACACACTAATGCACACACAAATCTATATTTGACACACTGATGTAATTAAGAATTATATTTGATGAATGTAAACTAATATGCTTATTACCTCCCTTTGCTATTTTCAGAATCTGTGACCTGATATGTAAATTGCCGCGTAGCATCAAAACTAGACCTGATCTGCACAAACGAATGCCATTTTCAGAATCTGTGACCTCAAATCTACCAGAATCAAGTGTCAGAACTCATGCAACCGAAAGTGTGTTCCCCAGTGTAATCTTACTAAAAACATACCTCTAGGCTTATCTTTGTGTTGGTCACAAATCAGAGTAACGGTTTGCAGGTAACACAAGGTTGTTTCCAAAAGCTGTTTGTAAAGGTCCTGTAATTCTCCTTCTTGTTCTTTTGTCACTTCATATACCTGAAACAAAGGTTTAATTTACTAGTTTGACATGTATAAACAATTTTTATACTCATTGGAATTTTAAAGATGGCAATGAGCATCTTAAATTCCATAATTGTTACCATACCCTCTATTGCCTAAATAAGTAGACCATTTATTGTATTGTTATTAAAAGTAATATTATTCTTAAGAAAAAAAAAAAGTATTTTCATTAAATTTCATTTTATTTATAATTCCTCTTCATCACAGGAACTGGGATATTAAGGCCAAGGGACTAATCTAAAGGTCTTGATGATGTATGTAATCCAAAACTGATCAATGACTGGTAAAGAAAAAGTAGGGTGATCTGATCAGCACCCATATGTACAAAAGGCAACTACCCTCATAATATCTAGATCTTTTAGGCATTAATGACAAGTCCTTGAGATGAGGTTGCTAAGTAAGATGAAAATCAAAGATCATCCTTTATGAGTGAGTCTGTCACATTACTTGTAATTGTTACACGATCTAATTTCAGTTCAGTTTAGAATACTCGTACGGTCTGTAGATTCAGAGAGAAATGGAATCCACATTCTTGTGATCATTGAACTGATGTAGCTTCAATTGTAATTTTCTATAATGCCTTCAACAAATAAGGAGCAGCAGATGTCTTGACAATTTTGTTGAGTTACAAGTGAAACATTAATTTGAGGAACCCCTTGTTCAGCCACTTAAACCCCTGAGGCTACTGTGTTTTTCTAACTAAAACACAATTTTCTCTAAGTCCTTTATAAATAATGGTATCGTACTTTGCTCTATAACTGTTGCAGTTCACATAGTATGCAATATCTCTATGCACTATCCTAAGCTAAAAAAGACTGCTACATAATGTTCAGATGTAGTAAGTCTCGTCAAGGGTAATTTCTTAACAAACCGAACTTTCTAAGGCAGAATAATGCCAGCAAAACCCATTTCATATTTATTAGATGATTTTGCTACAGGTTAGATACCAGGTATTTTTAAAATATAGAAATGTTTATCTTTTGGATTACTAACCTGTCCAATAAATTTATCTGATGATAATAGGTGGGCTATAATACCAGTGCTGATGTATTTGAAGTGACACTTCTGCTTGAGGGAGTATAAATCCCAGCAGATAATATCGTTATCTTCCCTGGAATTCTTCTCAGAAGGGCTCTGCTGCACTATCATGTCTTCTGAAAAGTAAGCCAAAATGAACAATAATTACCACACTCTTTTTGATACTCTAGCATTCCACTTTTTTTGGTTTTAACACTTGTATTACCATATCTAAAAATATGTTGTGTAGCTTGAATTAGTGTAAGTTACTGTTTAGTCAAATCCTCATTAAGGCATACACATTATTTAAGACAAAACTTCTTTATGATTTATGTTGTGTATCTTTTAACAAATTATAATTTTCTTTAGCATACTTAAATTTTCATTTGTATTACCTTTTTCCTTTAGCAAATTGTTGATATACTTCATCAACTGGCAACAAGCATACACTTGGGCCACTGGAGAGAACTGGCTACATAGTATCAGGGCAAACTGAATATCCTCAGGAGGGCCTCGTCTTTCCTCTTCTTTGGTGACAGTGGCATCAATTACATTTCCTCTCTTGATATGGGAATCAGCTGAAAAGAAGAGTTCATATGAGAATAAGTTGAAGAAATTTAACAGACTTATTGATTCAAAAAGTGTGAATCATGTTAGTTCTATCTACTATATCAGCATTTCAGACAACTAGAGGTGAAGAGAATGGTTAGAAAGCAGCCTAAAATTGATAATAATATGGTCACATCATGGCTTACACTTGTGGCGATAGTGAAAGAAAGGCTCCTCCTGAAATGATGAGGGTAGGTTGTAAAATGTAAGGGTTTTGATCTAAATCATATCAGTGAGCCTTGAAAAAACTGAGCTCTAATGATATTTATGCATATTAAAACTTGGCATGATCAACTCTTGGCTCAAAACCTTGAACAACCATACCCTTGATCTCCATAGCCCCTGTGTCTGCAATCTCAATATACCAATTTGGAAAATAAATTCAAATCCAGCTTCACCTTCAATTAATATCACAGATAATGTTTGAAAGCTATGATCAAAAATTTAATAATCCTGTAAAATACAGGAGTTTAATTTCAATACCAGCAGGGATACCAGGGGAAAATAAGAAATACTGTATTAATAACCCTACAATTTCATATATTAGAATTAAACATGAATTAGAACCAAAAGTATAAAGGGTATTAAAAAATTCTAATTAGCTTGACATCATATATGAGACACTTAACATTACATTATGACACTCGCCCCTAGCTGATCCAAGGAACAGAGGACAGTTGCCAGACACCACCACTATTACAGGTCTCCACATCTCACTACCTTCTTCTCTCAAAATAATAAAACTAGAGCATATAACATAAATACAAAATAATAAAACTAACACAATTTTGCAGCCTTTGTAATAAAGCTTATTTTATTAACATACCCATAAGAGCTAAAATGATCCATAAGTTTTTTCCAGCATCAATGGTGGAGGTGAGCTGTGTGAAGAGAGACAGGCGGCGATGCTCTGGAAGGTCAGGCAGGGCATCCACAAACACCTGACACACTTGTGCCAGCTTTACCACAAGATTTTTTTTTTCCTCACACTAGGAAGAGTACAGGTAAATTACAGTACAGTATATTTATATAATTACACAAAAAAATATTAAAATTGCAGGAACATCAATTATACAAGAGGACAGAGAGAAAGGTGGTGTACAGGCATTCCCCGCGTTATGGAAGGGTTGCGTCCCTGGAAAATTGACCGTATCGCGAAATTCCGTAACGCGAAACCTATTTTCCCATTGACTTTCATTATAAAACTGGAGATGCATTCCTTAGGAATTTTTTTCGGACCCAAAAAGTAATTCAAGCACTTTCATGAATTAAAATAAGCATTTAAAACACATACAATACAGTACAGTACATTAAATAATTTATGATATACAGTGGGGTATGCTATAACGAACAGATCCTACTACGAATATTCCTATAACGAACGGTTTTACCTATAAAATTGAGAATGCTATAACGAACGCAACTCCTACAACGAACGCGGATGAATACGGGACTATTTCGCCTGGCTCATGAATATTGTTGTACCGCGACCCACAACAAGAGCGTCAGGCGCCATCTTTGTCTCATTGTGTAGCCAGTGCACCACTGTTATTGTTGAAATTTCGTCTTTTGATGTGGAAATTCGCGTTATTTGTATAACTATTTTGTTATACAAGTATACAATTGTAACAATGAATCGTCCAAAGCGAGTGAGAAAGCTAATAACCCTTGAAACTAAGAAAGAAATTATAAAGAAACGTGAGAATGGAAGAAGCATTGCAAAACTTAGTGATGTATGGGATGGCTAAATCGACTATATGTACGATTTTGAAGAATAAAGAGGAGTTAAAAACTGTGCAAGTGGCTAAGGGAATCTTTAGACTTAGCAAAGCAAGGTGTAATGTGATTGAAGAGATGGAAAATTTACTCTTAGTGTGGATAAAGGAGAAAGAAATGGCAGGTGGTAACATTAGTGAAGCTATAATTTGTGAGAAGGCTAAACAATTGTTTGAGGACCTTAAAGCCAAGACTCCCAGTGGAAGTGATAGTGCTGTGCCAGTGTTTAGGGGTACCTGCATGCTGAATAACACTAAGGTAAGATAAAGTACCGTATTTTTTACATTTTCCACAGAATTTTTTCAGTGTTAAGTGGTTGTATTTGGGGGCCTGGAACGGATTAATCCTATAACGAACGAATGCTATAATGAACGAGGTTCTGGAACCAATTGCGTTCGTTATAGCATACCCCACTGTACCTTCTTAAAACATCAAGTTTAATATCCAATGTAATGCCTTTGTGGCTTCTTTTTGCACTACTGCGGTCAATTCTACTTGATGGCCTCTTTCCAGTCATCTTGAATAAAGGTAATGCACTGTACTGTACTTACTGTATGTTTGTAAAAGTTAAATCCAACTGCTGGGGCGAGAAACATGCGCGCACACTGGATGTAAACTATGGACTGACTCCGCATGGCAATGCCACGCTTGGCGGTAGCAAACACCAAGAAATCCACACCAAACAAATTATAATTTTTAACCAAAAATTTTAATTTTATATAGTGATTTTTCTAAATTGTTAAAATTTACCCCAATTTCCGTAAGGGTGGATTTACGGGCCGTATCGTGAAATTATTGGTCATAATTTACAAATTCCGTAAGTGCGAAATTCCGCAACCCGGGGTTCCGTAATGCGGGGGATGCCTGTAATATGAAGTGAGGGATAAAAAGCGAAAAGTAGATAAAGAAAAATGAACAAGTTGATTTCATTAATGTACTTTAACGAAGACTGGCTCCACAAAATTTTTAAGTCAGTAGTAACTATTACAGTACAAACATGATCATTTAACCACCATCTAGTCAATAAATGATGTAATCCAATGCAGAGAGACTTGAGGTATCTTCATGGAGCATCGAGTACTTATGAAGGAAAAAATCATCAAATTCATTCATATTATAATTCTAAGTTTAATATACAACATACTGAATATTTACTTGAATTAGTGTTGGTACAATGCTCTGGATTGTCTGGTGAATAACTTGGAAGGAGTAGGAATCATCACGTCTTAGTAGAGATGTTCCCATGAATGTGAAGATGGACATCATATTATGCATCACCACATCCTGTAACAAGAAACATCACAGTTACTAAGCATACACCTTCACTATCAGAATTCTAATTAACATTTTCAGTTTATGGCCATAAATAAAATTTAGTGTGAATCTTACTAGTTCATTTCTCACCTAAAAACTGTCAAATCTGACAAATTATCGAAGGGATTAACTAAGCTACAGACAAACAATGGAGACATGACCTCAGCTACAGCACTCACAAACAAAGTACACTGGATGAAGCTCACACAGACACACCCCTCTGCTGACCAGAGGTTAACACAGGTAGACTGGATGAGTCAATTAACATTCTAATAGGTCAACTTTTCCACCTTGTATTAGATCCAGATATAAATTTTCAATTAATTTACGACCATAAAACAAAAGAGAAACTTACCGGTGAAATTTTTGCTGCGAATGCAAGGATAAGCATTGCACGCCGGTGTGTATCTGGACTCACAGAAGAACGAATACACTGGACAATCAATTCAATGTTCAATTGAACTTCTTTACTCACATCTGAAGAATACAAATTTTGTATGAGTTATAACAAGTCTGGCAGATATATGTACTATTTCTAATAACAGTACAATGTATTGCACATGATGAACATCAATTATATAGATTTGTCAGTGATGTTAATTATTACAGTATACAGTACAGTATACATATAAGAAACTTGAAAAACTGAAATGGTCATTCATGCCATGCTTCAGTGAGGCAACCTGTCAATTTAAGTTCTGCAGTTGATACTTTGCAAAAGGAAGTTCACACTTACCGTACATAAATTTTTTTTAGCATTTTTTTTTAAACCACCGTGAACCCAAAATAATAATAATTATATTAACTAGTATTCATAATAAATACTTAATTACTGCTAATTTTTCTACAAAGATACTGTATTAAAAAGAGCAAAAGCCAAAAATTTGGTTAAACTAATCTAGAATACATGACTAATAGTCCATTCACTATTTTTCTGTAAGATTTTACACAAAATTCTTTTGATCTCTTTAGAGAAGAATTGTACAGTATTTCCATCTCCCTTTCATATCTCTATTACAACTCAGGATTCATTAAAGTTTTCTTGATAATATTTACAAAATTAAGTTTTTTCTCTGTCTATGACAATATGGAAAATTATTTTTTTTAGCCACTGGGGATGTAAAATCGATGACTTTTACTCTTTAATTTTGCTTTCCTATGCACACAAACCCTTTCTTGCTATGATGCAGGGTGCCTAGACAGGTGCTGTTCTCCAAGTCTCTTACAATTTAAAGAAGCTGAAGGGTTTTTCACCCCCTGGGCAAAATGCTGCCCCACTGAAAGGTTGATCCACTATCAACAAGCAAACCTGTTAATGTACTGGTATTTATATCCTTGTTGTGACATGACTTGTGGATTTTGTTAATAGCTGTGTGTAGTAAATCCAAATGGAGGTGTTCATAAGTAGCAGAATTTAACCAACTGTACTGTACTTCATGAATTTGTAGTCTAAGGTAGAATTTGTAGTCTAAGGTATCAATTAAGAATATTACTGAATATTTACCCTCTCCCAATTCTTCTACAGACTTCTGCAGCAGATGCAGCAGTGCAGACAGAATCTGTTGTTGTACCACATCAGTAATGACAGTGTCAAGGGTTAGAGTGTACAGGAGACACTGACACAAAGGGCCAACCAGCAACCAGGGTCTTCCTAATGAGGCCATCACACCAATTGTTTCTAACATTAGGCCAAGTTTCCTCCAAACAAGAAGTTTGTTACTATGGCTCTCTTGTTCCTTTCTGTAAACAAATATATAAATAATATATATAATGTTGGTACAACAATTCTCCTGTACATCTTCATCCTTACCTCCTTTGAGAGGAAGAGACCCACATCAAAAGAGGCACAAAGATGGAGATGTGCCAGGGAATCTGAGTGTCATTATTATTTCGGAGTGAAGCAAAGGCTAAAGGTAGATGTGAGATGAAGGAGCAAACTAAGTGACCCAAGTGACAGAGTAAAGCATATATATCAGGTGAATTAGGATGCAGAAAATAAAAACAAGGTAAAAACAAGATATGGAAAAGAAAGACAGTAAGAGAGTGTATAAATCACATGTGTAAGGTAGGAGAGAGATGATAAAATGATGAGTATGGAAGGAGGGGATGAAGGATGCACTGGAAGTGAGGTAGATAAGCCTCCTGGAAGCAGCAGCGAGTGTAAATGATGAGAGAGCATTGTGATGAATGCTTTCATGGGATATGATGCCCTGTTGATGGGTTATGCCTGGTTGCATGAAGTGACAGGTAAACCAGGAAAACATGTGGGGCCTTGTGGATAGGGACTACCAAACATATCTAATACTGTAGTAAGCATGAATAACAATATATATATATATATATATATATATATATATATATATATATATATATATATATATATACACAGTCAACCCTCACTTTACGCGGTTAATATAACCCACAGAGTACCGTGGAAAGTGAGAAACGCGTAAAGTGAACAACATAACATATGGGAATAAATGAAATAGAGACCGGCTGATCCCCAAACTCCACTTTTTCCGACACAATACCTATGTTCTAGTAAAAATAACATCTTAATTTTATGATGGTACATGCACACAATTAATACTTAAGAGAAATAGAGAATTACAGTCGTCAAGTTAATGTCCATTCAAATAATGGACTCAACTCCCTCCCCCTCTTCTCACACTACACTCGCTGGCTCTTCCCTCTCTGACCAGGAATATTTTGAATATAAATGTCATATATTTTGCACAAAAGATAACATATTTACTCAGAGTAAACAAAATACTTACATTAGATCTAAAATTTGTATGTCTAATGCAAAATCTATGATGTTTATATTCAAAAAGATCATCAAATTGTAAGAATTCCAGCAATGTAAATTATATTCTGGCCGGATAATTTGTATGAATTTTATGAGCTAAAACAAATATCTTCAGTTAATAAAAAAAATATATTCTTCACGACACTATCTGTCAATCAAAGTACCCCACCTTGCCTCCCCCCCTCTTCCAACCGCGCCAGATGGTCGGTCGGTCCCAACCCTCCCCCCCACCTTCCCTCCCTACCAGAGAAATGTTGGGTGAAAAGACTCGATTTTGACTTTTAGTAATAAATAATACCTCAGACTAAAGTTAGGATAATATAATTGACATTGCTAGATTCCTTGTAAGACCAGGAATATTTTGAATATAAATGTCATATATTTTGCACAAAAGATAACATATTCACTCACAGTAAACAAAATAATTACATTAGATCTAAAATTTGTATGTCCAATGCAAAATCTATGATGTTTATATTCAAAATGATCATCAAATTGTAAGAATTCCAGCAATGTAAATTATATTCTGGCCGGGTAACGTTTTACCAAATCCGGCTTCGAAACACGAGGATCCATATATATTTCATTCGCCCAATAAAGCACGCGGACTTCTACATACCACCTACGTGGTACGGGTGGTCCCCATTAGAGGTTCACGGCGCTATAAGCTCGTTGAACAGGCTTTGTGTGAAATATAACAAAGTCTAGGACTGCTTTTGTATCCTGGTGGTCCAGCGGTTAGCGTTCCCCGGTCACAGTCATAGGCTTGTGGGCCGTGGGTTCGAATCCTGGCGGGTTGAGGTGTTGATTGTGTATATATATATATATATATATATATATATATATATATATATATATATATATATATATATATATATATATATATATATATATATATATATATATATATATATATATATATATATATATATACTGTATGAGGGTTTACTCTACAAAAGAACTACAGAAATCAGTTATCTGGGAGCCTTAGAAAACTGGCACCATATCATTTAAGTCTAACACAACAGCAGGAAAGAGACTGCAGGGTCACAGAAACATGAGAGAAGGGTCCAATCAGAGAATGCCTTGGAGCCCTGATAAGATAATTAGTAGTGAACCATGCAATTCCAGGCTGTGGGCAACTATTAACCCCAAAGGAAGTGAAGCTAGGCATTAGAGAACATATGGGAGACACTGGATTGTTCTCAAATCAGGTTTATTGATGATTTTTATTTGAAAGAGGTCTGGCTGGAAGCAACAAATTACCTTGCCCAAATACCCTCTGTAGTTTGAAAATATAGACATTTAAAGAGGGTCCAAGTATTTGCATTGAAATATACCAGCTTCAAGATTTTGTCTTTTATTTCTCCAATGTGGGTTTTTACTTAATTTACCAGTATGAACCAATACAATTTAAGAATACTGTACAGTGGTCCCTCGGTTAACGAACGGTTCGATTAACGAAATTTTGGTTAACAAATTAGCTCCCATAAGGATTTTCAGTTCGATTAACGAACAAAACTTTGATTAACGAAATCCTTACGACAAACAAGTTTTGTTGTGTGCATCAGCTGATCGGCTAGTCCGCCAATACAATAATTGGTTCTATTACATACTCTTTCCAGTGAAGTAAATATCAAGAAAGTTGGTCTCTTGAATATTTCTGCATTTTTTATATTAAAATTATTGGTCATTCTGAAATTTAGTTAACATATTGATAATATACAGTACAGAAATTATTATGAAACATGAAGAAGGCATTAGAACCAATGCACTCTGTAAAGACTGCCTCTACAATCAGCTGTTTGATATGTAAACAAAGCTGCTGGTAATACGACATACACACCTCAAAGTAAGTTAAAATACAATATTCTATTGTTTTTTATTTATTATTGTACAGTATACTGTACAGTACAGTACTGTATTTAGTACAGGTGCTCCTCTACTTAAGAACGTTCAACTTACAAACTTTTAGAGGTACAAACATCATCACTGAGAGGGGTTACCTGCCAGAACAGGTGTTTAATGTGGATGAGACTGGATTATTTTGAAGAAAGTTCCAGATAGAATAAACATTACCTGAGAGGAGAAGAGTGAGCCAGGTTTTAAGGCTGTATTAAAGGGTATAGCTGCACTAAATATCCATAATCTTTTCATTTTTTACAATACCCGGTATGTTTGGTATATACAAGAGTATAAAGTTGGACTTACAAACAATTGAACTTACAAACAAGCCTAAGGAACGTAACTCATTCGTAAGTAGAGGAGCACCTGTATATATTTAATGTTTTGTTAATTCTATTCCTGGTATACAGCACTTTGTATGTACTTTTTCTGTGAGTTGGAACCCATTACCCAATACCCCATTGAAATAATAGATTCGGTTAACGAACGACTCTGTGGAACAAATTGTGTTCGTTAACCGAGGGACCACTGTACTGTATATGAAAATAAACTGACATACTGCAGGCATAATAAAAGCTGTGGTTTTATGAACAATATAAACATTACCATTTATGAAGACAGATGAAATCAACTAACCAAACCATACGTACCTCGACTCATTTTGTTTGTTAACTACATAGATTTACAGTCTTCATTATTCTGTCACAGTGAATTGTTGTTTGCAAGTAGTGTTACCAATTGTATATACCTGTACAGTAAGATCTCAAATTTTGCACGATTTCATTTCGCACAATTTTATTTCGCGAGCACTACCTAATGTAACCAAGTCTTATATTTGGCGTAAAATATCGTGAGTTTCGGAGAGATCCAACCAGCTGAATGCTGGCCACCATCTTGAATGACGTCACAGCCCTCATACCAGTTACAGTCATTTCTGCTACAACGCGTGTTTTGTCAACGTGAATTGGTTGTAACGCGATTGATAAATAGGGGAACGCTGTTTGTAAAATGCGAACTTTTGCAAACGCATGTTGGCTATAGCGCGATTCGATCCTCAATGTTTTGATTCCATCCTCAACGTTTTACGCGCGGTGCGGGATTATGCAATGTTTACAGTTCACGTTCGACATCACATGTTCAATTGATTCGTGTCTTTTTGTTTGTGAAGTATTTTTTGAGAGGTACTCTGTAAATTTTTTTATTTTTTTGGCAAATTTAGCAGTTACCTATAAATAATGTATGAAAAAATAAGTAAAAAGAATGTTTTGCAGTGAGGACTATTAACGGTTTACACCAGCGCTCTCTGTTTACATCACGTGATCAGTTGAATCGTGCAGTTTCTGTCGATTAGTCCGTGATTTTCACCATTTTCTCCAATTTTGTTGTGTTAGCAATGAATATGGAAAGACAAGGTAAGAAGAATGTTTCCAAGAAGCTTTCTGGTAATCGAATTGCCGGTGGTGAACGTAAAGGGTGTGTACAAGAACGCAACTATCGCACTGCAGCCTGCGCCATCCTAGCGACCGCCCGAGCTGCTATTGTGTGCTTTTTTGGGTGGTGCTACCACCTGTCAAGTCAAGATAATGGCCTCTACCTCTACTGGGGGTCCTACTGGTGCTGGTGGGGGTGGGACAGACCCACCTATGTAGCCAAATAAGGAGAATGAGAAGCGGGAATATCATAAGGGAGTTAAGTTTGCCAAGTACTCGATGCAGGATAAGCAGCGTGTGATTAAGTTACTTGAGAAAAGCCTAAAAACTAGTTTCCAGAAAGCACAATCAGGTCAATAAAGGCAGAATTTGTATCATTTGGAGGTTATAAATGGGAAAATCAAAGGTTGATGTAAAATGGCCAGTCTATATTGTTATTTTTCCCATTAGTTTATTTATTTTCATTTGGCGAATTTGAATTTGGCGCAATTTTTCCAATCTATATTACTCACGAAATACAAGATCTTACTGTATATAAAAAACTACTACCTCTTAATAAGCATACAACACCAAACTGAACCATAATTTACTCCAAGAATTTCAATATAGAAGAGCTTCATGGATTCAAAGGGGGCATAATGGGGGACATTGACTTTATTCAGACAACTAGAATACTGATTTTACAAGCCATATTTTTTTTTTGGGGGGGAGGGGGTAATAGCCCACCCAGGCACAGGTCATCAACCCACAACGGGGCCTAGAGGGCAAAAAAAATAGGGGTAAAAATAAATTAAAAATAGAAAAGAAAAAGATTATATTAATCTACACCACAAAAATGCCGGAAAACCAGCTTTTTGAAGTGAGACAGATTGTATGAGTATGGAAACACAAGAAGGCAGAGCATTCCACTGTTTGGCTGTGTGAGGAGAGAAAGATGTACTATAACAGGTCATTCCAGTGTGACCGACATCCACAGAGAAACGGTGGGCACCGCGGGCAAGAGGAATGTTACGAGCCCATTGGATATCCAACGTCATACTGTCTTATGCGTAACCCATCAGACATAAGTTGCCTTCAAATATGGATACAACTTACTGTCTTTTTCTTTTGGCTTGAGCTGCTTTTATGGATGTCACTTTATCAGACAAATGTAATGCCTCAATCTGCTTGATGATAACTGCAGCATCCAAGCTCACTTTTCTGAGACCCTTACGGAGGTGGGTTGCTTCACTGGGATCTTCTGACTCCACAACATGACTGATGAGGATACTCCAAAGTTGAGAATGAACCTCCTCTTTCCTGATGCTGGAGAAAAATTTGCTACTCATCACCTGGAAATGTAAAACAAATGACTAGTACTATAGGGTAACAAACAAGAGAGTTGATGCTAGGCAGTATCTACAGTAATATATTATGCAGCAGTCAAACTATAATACTGTACAACTCATATTAATAACATCATACAATCAAATGTAAATAAAATTTAACAGATTCCCTAATATATTACAGGAGAGCAAATATAGAAAACAGAATTCTAAAAAACTGTAGACATATTAAGTAAGATACAGAGGAAATTTTTGAAGAGCCAATGGGAGGTGAATTAGTATGTTTGAGTAAAGCCATTACAGGTTTTAATGTTTTAAAAATGGTAGTAACCTAAATCTAATTACTTCAGGATTTAGTAAAATAATTAATAACCACAACAAACACCACTACTTACCTGATCCATCAAGACACTCTGAGGTGAAACAAAACCTTCAAGGACTAAATCATCATTGAGATCTAAGACCCGTCTAGAACAGGTGATGGCCTTATGGAAGAGCTCCCATCCATCCTTACTCTCTAACACTTCACAAGTTTCGGGTGTAAAGTGAAGTAAAATGTAGTAGAGTGAATATGATGTGGGAACATCAAGCTTGGAATCTTCTTTCAGACTAGAAACCATTTTCAGAATGCTGTTGGCAAGAGGAAGTAGTTCTCTCAGCACAGCCTGAAATAAGAAATCAAAATGCTGTATTGAGAAAACACTGTACAAGAGAACATCACAGTGAGGTAACACACATCAGAGCAAAAACAGTAAAACATTCATACAATGTGATCCCTCTCCACAGTATTAGGCTTTTTGGTGAAAATTTGGTTCATCTACTTATTCAATTCGGTTAATAGGATGAACTCTGGTTGGAGTCTCTATGCATGGATATTAAAATCTTCATCAGGTTTCATACAATACTCGCTGATTTACCCAGTGCTTATCCAGCCATTTCTTGAAAGTCAACATATTAAATATTCTCCATCACATTTGACAAGTATATCCGTAATATCACCTCACAACTGCAACAACCAATGGACAATAAATGGAAAGAAAAGAATATGCATAAATTCTGACCAAAAAATAATAATATCAACTTACAGTACTTGTCACATGACTGAGAGCAAACAGTAGAGATGCTTTCATATGCATTGGTACCTTCTCCAACACTACCACTCCAATCAGAGCTTGAGCCACCTGCTGACTATTTGATTTTGGCTTGTTGTCAAACTGTGCCAGCAATGATGAAACATGACTGAAAGGGATAAGTTCAGAAATAACATTTGTGGTACAGTACAGTATTGGTCATCTATTTAATAAATGTATTACTAATAAGACACCAGAAGGCACTACTTACCCACAAAAGTACAGGGTACCAATCTTCAAATAAATTGTATACTGTAGTTTTCAAGGTGTGAATTTACATTATTTTACGAGTGAGTTACGATAAATGTTCAAGCTATGTTTACAGAATCAGCTACTTTTTGTTTTATCTTGACATTATTCTTCTCAAACCTTACTGTAGCTCATATCATTTACAAACTTTATTACAGTTTATAACAATCAGTCAAAAGTGCCATTCCCACAGTCCTCCCCTCTAAATATTTTAAAGCCTTTTTTACCCATCATTCAAGATTTAGCATATCTTTGGGTACCCAGTTTTTAATTTAATTCATCCATCCCAGTCTCTGCCTACCCCTGGCAATCCTACCCTCAACTTTGGCCATTAATATTTCTGCTATTTCAAAGGCCTCTAACCTATTTCTGGTGACTGCTGAAAGTGTCAACGCTTTGTCCCATACAACATTTCTCGCCATATATAACATTTCAGTTAGGGATGCACCGAAACCAAATTCTGCTCGGAACCTCGATTTTTATGAAGTTCCAGTTCCGGCCAGAACTTCGGTAAAATAACTGGCCAGATCCGTAACTTTTTATAATGGGTAATGGTTACCGTTTCATATATTAAAATTAAATTCACTGTTAACGCTTCTTATTTCTAATGGATAATAAAGCATAAAAAAGTACTCAATTGGAAATGAATACACACCTGATGTATTTAATATATAGAAAATCAAAATATGTATAATTACTGTATATACAGGCATCCCCGGCGTTACGGAACCCCGGGTTGCGGAATTTCGCTCTTACGTAATTTGTAAATTATGACCAATAATTTCGCGATACAGCCCGTAAATCCGCCCTTACGGAAATTGGGGTAAATTTTAACAATAAAAAAAAAATCACTATACTACAGGTATAAAATTAAAAAATTTTGTTAAAAATTATAATTTGTTTGGTGTGAATTTCTTGGTGTTTGCTACCGCCAAGCGTGGCATTGCCATGCGGAGTCACTCCATTGTTTACATCCAGTGTGCGCGCATGTTTCTCGCCCCAGCAGTTGGATTTAACTTTTACAAACAGACAGTAAGTACAGTACAGTGCATTACCCTTATTCAAGATGACTGGAAAGGGGCCATCAAGTAGAAGTGACTGCAGTAGTGCAAAAAGGAGCCACAAAGGCATTACATTGGATATTAAACTTGATGTTTTAAGAAGGTATATCATAAATTATTTAATGTACTGTACTGTATTGTATGTGTTTATAAATGTTTATTTTCATTCATAAAAGTGCTTGAATTACTTTTTTGGGGTCAAAAAAATTCCTGAGGAACACATCTCCAGTTTTATAATGGAAGTCAATGGGAAAATAGGTTTCGCGTTACGGAATTTCGCGATACGGTTTTCCAGGGACGCAACCCTTCCGTAACGCGGGGGATGCCTATATAATGATGATAAATTTCTGAAGTCCAATGTGAAAAATGAGAGAAAACACCAAGCCTGAGAATCTGATACACAGTATATTACCTTCAATAAATTATAACTCCCTAAGTTCCGGTTCTGGCCATAACTTGATACAGTATTGTACTGTAGTGTGGTTTTGGTGCATCCCTAATTTCAGCATCCCTTTTTCTCAAGTTAAGTTACCTTCTTATTAGGTCTTTTAGATAACTAAAGGCTGTTTTTCCTTGATATATTCTAATTTTTATGTCTTTTGCACATTTACCATCCCATTTAATGATACTTCCTAAATACACAAAATTTTCCATGTGTTTAAGTTCCCTGCTGTTTTTTTTTCACTCCAAACAAGAGCAGAGTTGAGGTGTAAGAGGCCCAAGTTTGTGAGGTGCTACTGTATATCCAAACTGCCTCATTGCTCCATCTTTCCACATTTCAAACCCTCTTTTCTTTATTTCTTTTATCAAAATTTGTGATGCACATGAAGTCATATTTTTAAGTACTGTATAGCTCAATCCATTTATCAAATGTAGTATTTTAAGTTACTATAACATAAATCACTTCTAGGCACAGTACCTTCCATCTGCTATGAGTTCATCAGCTTGCATCACTATAGCTTCTAGCAATAGGTAATGGTTGTCCTTAGAAAGCCTACCACCAATCACCCTCACAAGTTTCTTTATACAATCAATGGCACCACTGCGCACCACTGCACTACCATGTGTCAGGGCAGAAATCAGAGCTGGCACAATTGGCTGACTCGTTCCAAGCGCCCAGGCAAGACTGACAGACTGGGAGCCTAAGAGGGCTGATCCCAGACTTAAGGCCCAAGCCTGAAATGAAAATAAGGTGTACTTAAACTCTACACACACACACACAGTCCAAAGCACTGTCCCCCTAAGAATTTCTTTTTGTTTACTTATAAATAATCACATAAGAGTTTATGTTCAGTTGGAATAAAGACAAGGAATACACATACCACAGATGTCTATCAAGACTAACTATGTGCCGTATTAATTCTTTTAGCTATAAATCATATAGGGACATCTTCAAATTAAGTGTAAATATGTAATGGTAAAAAAGCAATCTGAAATGCTAAAGGGGACAGCAAAATAAGCTGAGCAACATAACAAAAAAAAAAAAAAAGGTTTAATTTTAAGAATACTGTGACATCCCACACTGTGTCGCAAGTTATTCTGGAAAATAAATAAATAAGGGAAAGAGGTTTGGGCAAGACAACACTGAATCCCAAAAGAGATATTCAGCATTGCTGGGGAAGGGGAAAGAGCAACATATAGTACACAAGTGGAAAGAATCCAAAGAATTATATTAGATATTGGGAAAAACTTGTATGACAAAAGAAAGACCTGTATAACAGTGAATGGACCACAAATGAAATCCTGAAGACAATGGATAGGCAAAGAAAATTAATATATGGAAGTGAGGTTTACAAATAACTTCACTGACAAATTATTAAGGATTAAAAACATGCCAAAGAAGATTTTTCTTAAAAGGAAATCAAGGAAACAGATGATGACATAACTGCAAGGAAATGTACAGAATGATTAACAAACAATATATTAATCAGAAAAGAGGACATATATGATGTGGGACTATAAAGAATGGACATAATATAATACTGTTTGAGGCAGAAGCAAAATAAAAGTGAACAAAGTAAAGTATGATAATCATGGAGTGGAGGTAATAAACAAATACAGTGGTCCCTCGGTTAACGAGATTTCGGTTTACGATTTACCTTCCATAAGATTCTTAACTTCGGTTAACGAGCAATCCCTCGATTAACGAGTTTTTTACGAGCCGACTTCAACATGTTTTCGCTTGAATTTGGCGGTCCACCAGCTGTAGTATTAGTCCGCCAATACAGGAATCGGTTTTAGGGCTTAAATTCCTTACTATTTTAGTAAATATCAAGAAGTTTATACTATTCAATAATTTTAAAAGTTTAATATTAACTTTTTCAGTCATTTTAACAATTATTGAACATAATTGAAGGTAAAGAAACTAGTTTCTGGCGTGCCATCCAGCCTGTTAACACACCAGACAGGCGTTAGTCTCTCTCTGTTTTCAGTGGAGGTAACATCTTGCTTGAGACTCTCTTCAACTAAACGCTTTTTTCTGTGTTTCCAAGCAAATTATTGGTCATTTTGAAATATATTTTACATATTGACAATATATAATGCAGTGCAGTGTTGATTTAAAGAAAATAATCTTGAAATACACCAAGAGAACTAAAATTTTATGGGTGAAATGGTGCCTTGGGGTGACTTCTCTTCCACCCCAATGCCTTCTCTTCTTCCTTCTCCTCCACCCCCATTCTAATTCCCATCATCATCATCATCATCCAGGAGCCTTCTACATACACACCTCAAAGTAAGTGTGCTTTTCTACCTTTTTTGTTGAATTTAGGCAATTTTCGGTGAGCTGGAACCAATTACCCAAAAACCCATTGAAACAATGGATTCGGTTAACGAGTTTTTCGGTACACGAGCAACCTGCTGGAACGGATTGTGCTCATTAACCGAGGGACCACTGTAGTAAACAAAAGGAAGTGAAGATCAATAACTAATTTTTAAACACATATTGATGTAGCTGTGAACACTATGTAAAATGTTCAAGTTTGTGGTCTTAATCTGCTTTCAACAGAATTTCAAAACAAATGGACAGGAATGGGATCAACAGTTTTATTAAAACATGTAACTATTCACTTCAAATATACGGTATGTATATTTTCCCAATGATTTAAAAATTCACATTTGTGTTGATATATGTATTAGAATAGTTAATGAATTAATTGAGATCACTGATCTTCCAAAAATTATTCACCCAACAGGTAGAGTTGCAGCACAGGTTTAAATACCACCCTATTTCATTTCATGTCTTTGTGCGATAACTTTGGTTACAAGAAATTGTGAACATGTGAAAACTAACAGACAATTGAAAAGGGTCATTACTAGAGCTCTTTGACACATACAGGATAATCATTACAGTATAAGCTTGGTAATTACCTGTAAGGTTTCATCTATTACATTAGAAAAAGTGTGTGATCCATGCCAGCCCCATAAGATGGTCAAGAAATAATATCTTCTTTCAGTAGACCCCAAGCACTCCTGGAGACAAAAAATTTTTAATAAAATTTACTGAACCATCTTACATGTATTCAAATACTGATTATCTTCATCTCTTTTGAAGTTTCAAACCTTCAAAACAATAGCCTAAAATTTGAGGCATTGAATCTCTCAAATACTTACCTTTGACCAATTTACTAATGCACCTGTACATCTGATGTATAACAGTTTTTGCCTATTTCTCCAAGAATCACCTGAAGTACACCAAATACAGTAGTGGCATAAAATTGGAAATAATGGTCTAAAATGTTTCACCATGGTAAGTCAAAATTGTGAACTAGGAGACTGGAAATTGAGAGTTTCTTGTATATGTCTTGATGACTGTTTGAGGTACTGTATACCTTTTCACTGGATACTTTGATAACAATATACAAGTAAACAAATGTGCCTTAAAATATCCAGATAAGTTTTTGTCAACATACTTAATGTCTTATTTCATTTTCTATTTATAGTATCAAGATGTGATTTAAAAATATAAAAATGTAATGCAACAATAACTAATAAACCAACACTCTCACAACATACCTCAAGAATTTGGGCAACCAGGCTGTTCCTAGCAGCTACATCTCCACATCTCTCTAACTGAAGAGCTCCCTTCATGGCCTTCATCAGAAGCATTAAATTTCCCTCTCCAGCTGGACTCTGGAAAAAGAGTATGGATTGATCTTGAAATGCCACCGTATACCCTAGAAATGGACTCGGTGGACATTATGTGGATAGCTGGTCGATGGGATGAAACCGAGATTAACTCCTTGGGGAAAAAATTTGCACTTATCATTAAGGCTATTTTGGTTAAATTTATTGCTCATGCAGAGTTAATGTCAGACTAAATACCTTAACAAACATCTGCAGCTAGTGGATTTATTATATTTGATGGCACTTACCTTATAAAATTTCTTAAGCAATGTTTTGTTCTTTAAATATTCAGCCTAACAAAACTGGTTACAAAACTCTCCAAATCTTCTAGTGTCTATTACCAAAAGAATGTCTGAATCATGAGATAAAAAAATAATTTTATGTAATAAGACTGAAGTTATCTGAGCAAAATAGTGATGCTTATCTCATTACCTCCATGTCAGGGTGCCAATAACGCAATGTGCTGCAGAAGTCAGGGAGCCTGAAGACTTTAACAACCTGCTGAAGACACTGGGTAAGAAAAGGTAGTGGGATAGCCCCTCCTTCAACTTGCTCAAGATACTCTTCAAGATCAACCAGGGAAGGTTGTTCCAAATTCTGACTTGTCTTGGTTGCAGAGCTCTGAAATTAATTTTATGAAAAACTCAATAAACAAATTCAATGCCAGTCTAAATTAAAAAATTTTGACTTTGGCCCTTTTTGCACTCCGCCAGATAATTTTAAGTTAGATCTTACCACTCCTACTCATCACTAAAGACACTAATGTGTATGAGCAAATATTAAATCAAAACACATTTTGAAATAATTGACTTGAGCATTCTGCCTTTTCTCTCAAAATGGTAAATGTTCTTGTGTAGTTTCATCAAAATATATGTATCCATTTATGAAGTAGCTCATCTGTATCCAATCAGAAGCCTTGCTCATAACAAGAGAAATTAACATTACTGTACTTCAAATGTTCATTTTTAAACAAGCATAAAAACTCTCTCATAGTTAACAAACATATTTAGGAAAACTATTACACTTGCTTTCTTTTACATATAACAAACTAAATCTTAAATTGACACTTAAATGGTAGCCATCACCAGTAACAGTTAGCAGTAAAAATAACAATCAGCTAGGAAATTACTTCAAAATGGCATAATGGTCAGGAAAAAAGGTGGCAGACCCATAACTTTGGCAAATGCACTAATTGGTCAATTATCACTGTAATTGACCTGCTGTCTCCAAAGGATATCTGTATATAATCCTCCCTATTTGGAGCTGAAAGATGTGAATGGGAAAGAGAGGAGATTGATTTGCCCAAAATGAGTTAACTGATTAATCATGGCCAACATCTTGAGGGATCATCTAAGGACATGGACCCTCCCAATAAGTAACTTGTTTATGAAACCTACAGTACTTCAGCCAATTAATTTATGAAAAAAATAAATAAATAAATAAATAAATATATATATATATATATGGTGTATATATATATATATATATATATATATATATATATATATATATATATATATATAATAAATAAATATATATATATATATATGGTGTATATATATATATTACAACACTGTAGCTCCAAGCTATAGGCAACAAAACTATGTAATGATGAAATAAACGAAAAATAATACAAACCTTGAACATATCCAAACTAATCAAGCAGGCATCTAAAAGACTGTGTGCCATCTTCAAGCGAAGAACCTTGTCCGCCTTGTTATCACCCAGACCACAATGCAATAAAATCATCGACATGAAGTGAGACAATAGGCAGTCTTCTGATCCAAGTTGGTTCTCTACATGGTTCCACAGGGCTATGTGTTCTTCTTGAGAGAATGTACTTAAGACTTGAGGCAAAACTTTCCAAACTTTGCTGGAATATTCTTTAGTTTTACTGTTATCCAGTAAATAAGGACTCACTACCGGTGACAAATTACCCAATAAAGAATTATTGTTTGCCAAGTTTGATTTCAAGACAATTTTGGCTGCAGTAATATCCCATCTGTTTCTTGGAAAAAGCACAAATGGTAAGCAAATGTAAAGTACTCTCATGTGCATACTTGAATCATACTTATCAACCAGTTTTTGTGAGAGTATTGTTAAGCAAGCATTTCTGACCTTACCCCACTTGGCTCCTTTACCTCTTGATTTAGTTAACAGTTTTTGGCACTCATTTACTATATAAGAAACATCTAACATTCTCAGGCCCTTTATAAATGTCAGTCCTTCTAAGATGATGGCTGGGAATTCATCAGTCAGCATGTTTTTTAAGTGTTTCTTGATGACGATTGTATCTTTCTCCTAAAGCAGACAAAGAAAGGAAAAATTATTAACTTCATAAGTAATTAACTTTAAAGTTGTTATATAATGAACATATACTGTATATATTCTTGAAACTCACAAGATTGGAACACATAGATGACGTCAACTTTTGTGCTTGTGTTCCACCTTATACACAGAAAAATGGACATCTGAATGATGCATACAACTTCATTAGTATAACTGGTTACAATTACTAGGAAATTAATCAACTTGAATTGTTAAGTACCAACCTGTCCCTTGGATACATTCTTCACAAAGTTCTTCACTGCTGCTAATCTAATTTCATCATCAGGATGAACCATATGAATGAAACTGGTGCTTCCAGACTGACTTGTCAATATTACTTTTATTATCTGAAAAAAGTACAATACTTGTATACATAGCCTACATACACTAAGTAAATCATGCAACAAATCGTATACACTCTCTCTCTCTCAATATATATATATATATATGCTGATAACCACAAGGAAAGAAGAAAACACGAAGTTCCCAAGCGCTTTCGTGTAATTCACATCTTCAGGGGTGAGTACAGACTAAGGAGAAGTACAAAACAAGGTGTATATATACAGAGGAGGGTGAGATCAGGTCCACAATGGTTTAGGTATTAGGTAATGACCCTACTAATCTTTAAATAGCACCGTAATGGTCGGTAGTCAGGTCAGAGGCAAGGTGACCCAACCTTCTCACCTGGTTACAAATCTTCTTAATTACAAAATTGTCCAGTTTGTACATGCCATTACTCAAATTCATGCTGAATGCTTCGGTATGTTTAATGAGACTAGATTCTATGATGTTCCTACTGTCAATTGAATTACAAGGTAATATTGAGGAGGCATTATCCCAGTCAATGCAATGCTTGTTATCCTCAAATGAACAAACAGAGCATTGGATTCCTGGCCTGTCCTAACACTATATTTATGTTGTTTAAGTCTAGTTACAAGATCTTTACCTGTCTGGCCTAAGTAAAACATATTACATTCCTTGCAAGGAACTTTATAAATGCAACCAATTGTGTTGTTGGGGAGTTCTTGATTAACATTTGTGACCAGGTGAGAAGGCCGGGTCACCTGACCATCTGACCTGACCACCAACCGTTGTGTGCTATTTAAAGATTAGTAGGGTCATTACCTAATACCTGACCATTGTGGACCTGGTCTCACCCTCCTCTGTATATATACACCTTGATTTGTATTTCTCTCTCTAGTCTGTACTCACCCCTGAAGATGTGAATTACACGAAAGCGCTTGGGAACTTCGTGTTTTCTTCTTTCCTTGTTATATATATATATATATATATATATATATATATATATATATATATATATATATATATATATATATATAATCTAACGCCTCGCTAACGAAATTTCGGTTAACGAACTGCCTTCCATATGGATCTTCAATTCGGTTAACGAACAAAAATTCGGTTAACGAATTTCTTACGAACCGACCTCAACATGTTTTTGCTTGCACTGACCGGGCAACCAGCTTTAGTATCAGTCCGCCAATACATTAATTGGTTCTAGGGCTTAAATTCCTTACTATTTTAGTAAATATCAAGAAGTTTATACTATTCAATAATTTTAAAAGTTTAATATTCAATTTTTTAGTCATTTTAACAATTATTGAACATAATTGAAGGTAAAGTGACTAGTTTAATGCGCGGCATCCAGCCTCTTAACACAGCAAACAGGCGTTAGTCTCTCTCTGTTTTCACTGGAGGTAACATCTTGCTTGAGACTCTTCAACTAAACACTTTTTTTCTGTGATTCCAAGCAAATTATTGGTCATTTTGAAATATATTTTACATATTGACAATATATAATGCAGTGCAGTGTTGATTTAAAGAAAATAATCTTGACTTACACCAAGAGAACTAAAATTTTATGGGTGAAATGGTGCCATGGGGTGACTTCTCTTCCACCCCAATGCCTTCTCTTCTTCCTTCTCCTCCACCCCCATTCTAATTCCCATCATCATCATCATCATCCAGGAGCCTTCTACATACACACCTCAAAGTAAGTGAACTTTTCTACCATTTTTGTTGAATTTAGGAAATTTTCGGTGAGTTGAACCACTATTAAAAACCCATTGAAAACAATGCTTGGTTTCGGTTTCGAACTTTTCGGGTTAACGTAATCCAATCTTCTGAACGGATTGAGTTCGTTAATCGAGGGGTCACTGTATATATATATATATATAAGAACCCATCACTTTACGCTGTTAATGTAACCCGGAGGGTCCCGCGTAAAGTGAGAAACGCGTAAAGTGAATAACATAACATATGGGATTAATTGAAATGGAGTCCGGGCCGATCCCCAAATTCCACTTTTTGACGACACACAACTATGTTGTAGTAAAAATATTATCTTAACTTTATGATGGTATGCACACACAATTAATAATTAAGAGAAATATCAATAATATTAGGTTTTTTAACACTTACATTAGTAGAAAAAATGGCTGGGCACACGGGGATGGGCGGTTGGTTCCGAGGCAGAGGGCAGATTATTGGCCCTCACCTGTGTCACTTGTATCAATTGTATCACTATCCACCACAGAGGCTTGCAGGGCCTCTTTGTCAAACTCCCCAAAGTCCATATAAGTCCATATCCTCACCATAATTATCACTATCACTGACTTGGGCCGGCTGTGGTGGGTGGCGGGTGAAGAACTGGTAATGTTTTGATGACTGGGCGACCTTGTGCGCACCATGTTCGCGCAGCTTACACAACATGGCGGATGGCGGGAGGTTTGGATCCAAAAATGGCGCGGCTCGCCAGCCGCTCTCCGCGTAAAGGGGTACACGCACCGCGGAATGTGAGCATCCTGGGTTCCGGCAGGGCACCGCGTAAACGTGGAAACGCGGAATGTGGGACCGCGTAAAGTGAGGGTTAACTGTGTGTGTATATATATATATATATATATATATATATATATATATATATATATATATATATATATATATATATATATATATATATATATATATATATATATATATATATATATATATTGTAATTTACATATTCATTTTATGCTACAGCGCCCACAAAACATGAGAAACGTTTGAGTCCCCCAGTAGAGATGTCCGTTCTCTATCCACTTCAGGATGTCTTAGTCCTCCGTTTTCTTTTTGTGTACTCGCTCAGGGACTCGAGTATTTCTGTATATAACACAGGATGATAAGGGAATTTGAAATTATGAGTGAATGAATTTATTATACAGTGATCAATTAACATAGTATTGATGTGTTTAAGTACAGTGGGGTATGCTATAACGAACGTAATTGGTTCCAGAACCTCGTTCGTTATAGCATTCATTCGTTATAGGATTAATCCGTTCCAGGCCCCCAAATACAACCACTTAACACTGAAAAAATTCTGTGGAAAATGTAAAAAATACGGTACTTTATCTTACCTTAGTGTTATTCAGCATGCAGGTACCCCTAAACACTGGCACAGCACTATCACTTCCACTGGGAGTCTTGGCTTTAAGGTCCTCAAACAATTGTTTAGCCTTCTCACAAATTATAGCTTCACTAATGTTACCACCTGCCATTTCTTTCTCCTTTATCCACACTAAGAGTAAATTTTCCATCTCTTCAATCACATTACACCTTGCTTTGCTAAGTCTAGAGATTCCCTTAGCCACTTGCACTGTTTTTAACTCCCCTTTATTCTTCAAAATCGTACATATAGTCGATTTAGCCATCCCATGTTCATCACTAAGTTTCGCAATGCTTCTTCCATTCTCACGTTTCTTTATAATTTCTTTCTTAGTTTCAAGGGTTATTAGCTTTCTCACTCGCTTTGGACGATTCATTGTTACAATTGTATACTTGTACAACAAAATAGTTATACAAATAACGCGAATTTCCACATTAAAAGACGAAATTTCAACAATAACAGTGGTGCACTGGCTACACAATGAGAAAAACATGGCGCCTGACGCTCTTGTTGTGGGTCGCGGTACAACAATATTCATGCGCCAGGCGAAATAGTCCCGTATTCATCCGCGTTCGTTGTAGGAGTTGCGTTCGTTATAGCATTCTCAATTTTATAGGTAAAACCGTTCGTTATAGGAATATTCGTAGTAGGATCCGTTCGTTATAGCATACCCCACTGTATATATATATATATATATATATATATATATATATATATATATATATATATATATATATATATATATATATATATATATATATATATATATATATATATATATATATATATATATATATATATATATATATATATATATATATATATATATATATATATATATATATATATATATATATATATATATATATATATATATATATATATATATATCTCTCTCTCTGAAGCACATGTGATATGGAGAAAAATCTTATATTTACCTTCTCATATTCCTTTCCAGCTGGTGAGTTGTTAACCTTGTTAATCATGCGGGCCACAGCCTGACAGTGACCCTCTGGATGACTTGCCTCTAGTCTGCTCAAAACTGTCCCAAGGTTCAAAGTGTTGAATGAAACTATTGCTTTGTAGTTGTTCTTCACAGCCTCAAAAAAGGACCTGAGGATAATAGATTTAATATTATATTAAAAGGCAGTGGAAAAGATGAATACTTTACATATATTGAAGCATGAGATGAGGAACTTGAAAGAGAGAGAGAGAAAAAAAAGAGGCAAAATGGCTGGTTTGGAGCATGTTAAGTCATATCTCCATATTTGAGTCAGACACACACTACAATTTCAGTTTATAAGCAAGGCTTGTGTGCTTTTACAATCATTTTGGACTTGTTAGATTAATAAGTTCAATTATAGGATCATTTACCTTGGCCCCAAGTTATGTTATTCTTATTTGCCCTTACATGTGTAAATTACATAAAACTTCGACAATTACTGTGCAGGGGGCCCCCATATTCGAGGATTTTTGTTTTGCAGTCCTCTATTATTCACGGATGACACTCTGGATGTACCCAAGAATGTCTGTGGGTAGTTTTAAAGTTGCCGGTATTTTCACGGCAGGGACAGGGAGCCATTCGTTCTAGAGACAGTAATTTCCTTTACCTGTACACATATAGTACAATACACAATACAATACATATATACAATCAGAAACAAATTTATTAAACATGTGACAGTCTACCACCAAGTCCGTGCTTTATTGATAAAACACAGACTTGAGGGTAGACTGTTACATTTTTAATAAATTTGTTTCTGATTATTTGTGAGTATTTTCATATTACTATTTATTTGCATGTGTTTTGTGTGTGTGTGTGTGTGTGTGTCTACACACACACACAAAACACATACAGTGTATATACAATACAGGCAAAAGAAATAAATGTCCTCGGGGCAAACACATAAAGGGAATATACATTTCTTTGTATACAAGTAAAAATCCCCCAATCAGGAAATGTCATTCGCTTAGTTGGTGATTCGCGGCTATCTTGAGAACCTAACTTCCGCGAATTTGAGGGGCCCTCTGAAGTAATAAAAATTTGGTAAAATGCTTCAAAGTCCACTGAAACATAGACAAATTAGCTACTGACATATTTCATCAATAAATACTCATGACAATCAAATAAAAACCTACCACAAGACTTTAAAAGCATCTGAAGACGACATCGGCATTGATTCCAATTGATCGATTACTGCTGTGAATTTTTTAGCCTTTTTGCTGGCATCTAACTCACAAGAATCACTGCCGAGCCACCTGGGAAGAAAAGAGACAGAATGAGATTTGAAATACAGTATAAAAAATTTTTTCATACAATAGTGTTCACTTGGCTCTAGATAAGTTATATTACAAGGAGAGGAGGGTCATCACAGTAATATACAGCCATTGTAATTCCTGTAAATTTTATTAAGTTATGTATTGTAACTCCTCACAAAAGACATTTATCACTTGCGAATGGGATTCCCTCTCTACTGAATAAAATCGTCCAATACAGAACTAACCAAATTAAATATAAAAGTGGCGTCCCATAGTGAAGGGGTTAACACGATACAGAATTTATATAAAAGGATTATACTGTATTACAACACCACTCAAAAAATAAAAAAACATAAAACACAAACTACATTACTGTATAGCAAAAGATTAGACAGATACAAGACACAAGGTCATCAATATAAGAGAAGAGAAACTAATGGACACACATGTGGTAGGCGGCAAAAATGATCAGCAGTTGAGTTTGGGTCAATGAACACTGACTGACTGTGAGAAGTGATAAGACAAAGGGTTGAGAAGGTAGTCTGGTCAATGACTGGCCCATGGTAGAGGAGTATATTTGGTGGTCACAGAGAGAATAGATGTCAGCAAGTTCAGCGTGTAAATTGCTCTGGAGAGACTTCAAGTAACTTAGTGGTGATGTGAAGTGAGTCAGGTGATGTTGCCCAGGGGATTTTTGGGCCACTAATTGAGGTGTATAGAGGTGGTCAGATCATAGCAGTAATCCCATACATATAGCTATTGTATGGCAGACCAAGCATTGGTGTGAGAAAGCAAGCAACCCAAAGGTGTGTCACTCACGGTGAAGAACAAGAATGGTTGATGGTGCATATGGTTGATATTATTGTTGATGGTTATGATGGTAGCTTGTAATGATGATTGGTGGGGTGACCTTTATGAATGACCTGAGACCCACAGTTTTGTCTAAAGCTGACAAAAGAAATATGAGCCATGCTATTGCCAAGATCAATCCACTGTGAAAATTTCAACAAGATAGGATGAAAATTCTGTGTCAAACCCGCAAAAAGTGCAAGAGTATGGCTTTGAGTCTTGAAATTTTTCCTCTAATGCAAAAGTAGCCAATACAATTTGATTCTATCGTTCACTTCTAATTTTGATCAAATATGACCTAAAAATTTTACTCTTGACCTATAGTCAAGGAGAACCACCAATAAAAATTCTGTAAAGGTTAGATAATAACTGTGAATACTAGAGGGTGATTACTTTTGTTGGCTTTGACTTGATGATAGGTGGTCACTTGACTTAAGATGATTGGATTAAGGTTATCACTGGAATTTTTGTAGAGATCACTTAATAATTGTAGGTGCTGTTTAGCTCCGAGTGATCTTCACGGTTGACCTCTGACCTTGTCCTTTGTCCAATGCTGATAATATACAGGGGTGCCTATCTAGAGGCAACACTGACCAGCTGTAAAATTTTGTGTAGATTGAATGAATATTATGAGATACTGAGTGAATAAATAAATGTGAAACACCAACAAACAGAAATGGAAAAACAAACTATATTTATCAATAAACTTGGCAAATCTTTTATTTTGCCAAGTACGGTAATATAGACAGGTAAAAACACAAGACGGAAGAGGACATGGACAAGGAAATGAAAATGGCAGTACAGTACTGTACAGGTATAACAAAATTATCAGAAGGTAGAATTACATGAGAGAGATGATTCAAAAAAGAGATTTAAATATTAGTCACAGCAGCTGCAAGCATGCAATAGGTGTTGACTAAAGAAAAACTTTCCTGCTTGTTATATGGGTAAACCTAATACTAATTACTGACATACCAACCTGATATATCCTGTGACATAAGCAGACAGGAAAGGCGCGACACTCTTTGTCTTCGCAAGCATTTCAATTTGTTTCAAAATGATAGAATTCTTCTCAAGGGCCATTAGAGTCTTATAATTGAAGGTATCTATCTTTTGATGATGAGTTAATGCTAACAGGCACAGCACACACTGCTCCATTAATGATTCTGGTGGAGTATTTTCCTGCAAAGAAATGTAGGGTAGATATTGAAACCCAATTTATAAGTGAAGCCCATCCAACAGTGGACAGATGCTTATTTCACAGCTGGAGAATTAAAGGCAATAACTGCTATCCTCCCATAGCGTGTATGTGTAAAAACTTTATTCATATATCTTGTTCCAGGTTACCCTGTAATTATTGGAAAAGGCTTGGAAGAAAGTGTTTACTTAAGATTATTACCTACAACACAGCATTGTATGTTTTGCACTTTTGTAATATTTCACCATTAACCTATTCCTTGTGTCAAAGCTTCCAACAAATTTCTCATATTTACTAATGTATCAAGCTTTTGTTATAGAGTATCTGAACTAATTTCTTTATAAAAATAATACAAATACTGATGACTCACCTGAATCATAAGTCTCAAGATGTTGTTGATAAGATCTTGGGAAAGTTTCGTCTTGACAGATAACTGAGCAATTGTAAAGTACATTCCTGCCACTATTTCACAGTGTGAGGACAGACATTTTGGCAACATTTGCACAATACTGGACAAGTGCATCTCCTCGACCTATGAATAAAAAAGTGCTGAAATGAAGGATTGACCGTGATATCACACCTAATGACAAAGCCTGGAAAGTGGTAGATTGAGTTTAGTAACCACACTAAGCTAATGGACAAGGGACTGTATTCACAGTTGACGTGCCCAGCGATGATCCCGACCATCGGGTACCTGAAGCTCCTGGTGGCAGGCATTATTCAAGGACGTGCTTCGGCCACTACGATGGGTTGGGGATCCCAATCCACCAGATAAGACTACCAACATGTGCATTTGGGCAGGATGGCTGGTAATTGGTATGCCACAAGTCAGCTGTCACATGTAAACAAACAGCACTTGATTTAAAATGTTTCAGGATGTTAATTTTATTATAGTCTGTTTTACTGTATTTCTATTACCCATACTTTAATACGTGCCCATTTGGTTCTCAGCTGCAGAGTGCCACTTAAAAATAATTAACAACATTTTGAATATACTGTAGCCATTTCCTTTGTGATAAGGCTGACTGGGTTGATTTTAAGCATCGTCACTGTAAGTGCTTTGTGCTTGCTCTATGAATTCTACCTGGGTCCGAATCATCCTATTCTATAATTCCTCCCAAAATCTTATTTCCCAGCTAGATGTAGTAGATATTCATTTAACATTAATCTGTAGGGCCATGGCCTTAAAACTGATTCACTGGAGCAATGCTAAAGACGAAATGTGAGTTAAAATATGTAAAAATACATTATTCCTGTGTCCAAAGTTCAAATTTTGAACTTTCATTTTTGGGGGTAGGAATCCACATAAAACAAACCTAACCTAACATCCAACTATACCTACATTTTATATAAAAGAACAATATTTTTATTGAAAAGTTTCCTAATATATTACCAGGTATTTTTTTCTAAGTTTTCAGTAATAGTTTGCTTAGGTTAGGTTAACTTGGTAATTATGAAATGTGAGAATAGTCAACATGGGCCAAGCACTGACTATACAGTACTCAAGTAAACCTAAGGAACCAAATCTAATGACTCTCATATATCAAGAGACATGACTTATCCAACCTAACTTAACATCTCAGCTATGTACCCGTCAGTCTGTCCAGCCAGGAATTCCTGATTAGTAGCCACTTCCTTTTTTTATTGTGACCCAATCTTTTAGATATATTTACCAGCTTGTTTCCAGCAAAGTAAAGGAATATAGATGTAAGCCTTTCTCATTTCTCACTCTAGCAACTTCAATTATCGTGTACAATAATATGTAAAACTGATAAGTACTGTACATAACCCTGGTGTTATCTCTTAATTATACAGGCAACATCTACTTGTAGAGGTTCTCTACAAGTAGATATTGCTGTTTCTTCTCTAATGCACTGTCTGCAGTACTTGAAACTCAAGTATTGGTGGCACGGGGTTGATGGACGGCTCATGCTCGTGATCAACAGGTGATTATTAAACTCCTTGAATATACTGTATATGGAAACAAGACTTTCTATACACAACAAACTCATTTTCCATCATTTTTGAATCAAGACTGTCATAGGGTGGGTATCCCATTGCAATGAATTGTCCCAACAATCGCGATAGGAAACTCAATCCACGGGGACTGCCTTCGGGTCTGTAAGTATTTCGGAATAACAACACACAATGGTGCTCCCGATCGGTTGGGTGGTGTAATGACAGTGGCTGAAGGTGAACATCATACTTGCACCACCTAATGAAAGGCAAATAGTCATTAAATATTAAATAATTTAATACCTTACATACATTTATTAATGCACAATAGAATGGTCCTTGCAGGCCTTTCTATAAAGACCCAAAAGCCAGTATATTCACATTAAACTACTGTACATTGTCATGTTTGCCAACCTTCTTCAAGATTTAAATTTACTACAGAATGTATAAAAAATTGATGAACAGAAATGAAGGCATCCTTCAATTTTAGGAATTAGGTCATATATGCATGTTAAGGATCTGAAGGACACACACAAGCACCATTTAAACTAACCTCCTCAAGTAAGCATATTCCTCCAACCACAGTTGTAAAATAGAAGGAAATAGCAATCTTCAGGTTACCCTCACTGCTGTGCACCTGCAGGAAAAAATATGCACAGGCTTGTTACAATAAACACAAAGATTCAGTTCTGTTCACTACATTCAGCATTTGCCCTCTTTCACCTATATTAATTAAGGAATTCCTTACAAATAAGCTAATCTTCATAGATTAGAACAAATTGGGTTCAAAGCAAAAATTTTCTGAGATACTTCCAATGTGTCATAAAATAACTACACCAGCTGTGTATTAACATTATCTACATTCAGAGGAGTAAAAAAATTTTTAAAGCAGTTTTAATTGAAACAAATTAATTAGCCAGACAGTTACAGATACTGTATAAAGTAGTACAGTACCTTGATACAACAGACTAATTGGGGCAAACACCAGTCTGGAAAATGCAAAAATCCAAAAAAAGTGAATCTAAGGGGGTGGGGGGTCTGGATTAACACTGCTTACCTGGACTGTTTCAAGATAATCAGTTGTTGTTATAATCTTATTACTGAACTTCAGTAAATATGGTCTTTAAGCACATAACAAGGTTAGTAAAACTTTATTACGTCAACAATAATAAAATATGAGATATGGAATTCTCTGGGTTGAATATCAGACTCAGTCTGGTTGTCGACAACTGTTTTCTTTGATATGATTGTTTTGTACTGTAGTGTTATCTGTAAGTAACCACAGAATTTGCCTTAAGAATAAATATATAACTACTGCATATATGGTATAGTACTATGAAGATAACAACAAGAGTGTAAGGGTAGATTGTGTGGGAGCAGCAGGTGGCACGGGAGGGTGGTTCCCTCCCTCAAGATCCCTTCATCACGTTTTTATATAATTTCACCATAATTCTCATATTATTTAGGTTCATTTGGTACTGGGTTGACAAAATGTTATCGTAAATCAACTTGCCAGAAAAAGAATCCAACACTCAATATGGTTTCCTGGTCGTTTATTTACACAGCCAATCATCGTAGCTCCTTTAGTAGTGCTCTCTATCTCTCATGCTTACCACATCTGTCTTCAGCACTTAATAAATAGTACAGTACTATAATGTACATACAGTACCAGCCCTTAATAAATAATATTGTTATCGCCCCTGGCTTCAGCTACAGTGCTGGCGTGTAATGCCATTAAATCTTTCGACCTGTGACCTTGCCAGATGTAAAAGTGTTTACAGACAAGTACTGACATAACACAAAGTTCATAACTCTATTAATCTTAGCTTCGCTTCATTCTGCATTGTCTTATTACTCCAGGTTAGGCAGAAACGAGTAGGCGTAATTATTCAACAATATTTCAGTACCGAGGGGTATGTCATCAGTTAGGCTGTACTTACAAGTGCGGGTCAATGCAGATCAGTATGGTGTTCCAAGAGAAAACAGTACTGTATTGCGTAAATCGTCCCAGCACAAATTCTCGGACAGAAGGCTGGTCTTCACAGCATCACTAGAGAGGGCGATCTGTCTCATGGAGGGGCGGGCAGCCACCGCCACCAGTCTAAGACCGTCCACTCAGCAGAACCAGGACTTGTCTGTAAACACTTCTACATCTGGCGAGGTCACTGGTCGAAAGATTTAATGGCATCACACGCCAGCACTGTAGCTGAAGCCAGCGACGATAACAATATTGCAATGTATTTCTCAGCAGTTAATAAATAATATTATAGTGTACAGTAAGTCCTCGTTTAACGTTGCCTCCAACAATGTTATTTCGTTATAAAATCGCTACTCTATAGATAGACATGATTCCAACAACGTTCCGACCGATTTGTTATAACGTCGTCACAGACTACTTTGTATGGCACATCACCCTCTCTCATCTTGGCGCGCTACGCTCTCTCGCGTAGCGTCACAGCATCCCCAGACTTTGTTAGGCTTCCACAGTGTATGTGCAGGCTTAAGGGTTTTTACTTTAAATACTGTACTGTAACCATTTGAAATGGCTTCCAAGTGCCCATCAAGTGTAAGTGATGCTAGTGTTGTGAAGCAAGACCATTAGCCTTGCTACGAAAATGGGGGTTTTAAACCCACCACACTCTCGCTCCACCTCTGCCCATCAGTGAGTACAATACAAAATGATTTAATTTATTTATCTTTTTGGATGTACAATATACATTATCTAGAAAAATTCCATTGAATTTATGTATATGTAATGTATTTTATGGGGCAAAGGGAGGCAAGGGAACTTAACTACCGGTAGCGTATTGTATCTATTTCTTATGGGGAAAATTGATTCGCTTAACGTTGTGTTTTCAAGAACGTAACCACGACGTTAATCGAGGACTTACTGTACTGTATTACGCATCTGCTGATTCCCTGATTTCTTCATTAATCGGTTGTCTTAGTGTACAGGTCGCCAACAAGTATCACTCAAAAGTAACAAATAGCATTGTTAAGAAGATATTGGGGTATTTCCATTTAAAATCCTAAATAGAACTGTATGTCATAATGATCCTGTTGCAAGTTGATTTGCTGAACGCTCTCCCCCCCATGAAGGTATCCTGAGTGAATACCTTCCGATACATCTTATTCTTTTATTTTCAAGTCAAACTACAAATTACAGTACTTAATGTATTTTTTCTAATATGATGAACCCTACACCATAAGAGGCTAATCATACAAGAATATAATACTGTACTGAATAAAAAATAAACCTGGCGATTGCGGCAACTCTTGGTCCCCCCTGCCACCCCCAGCAACATTTGTTAGGCCTAGCAAATCTGATTAGACCACTGTACAGTATTCAGTGAGCAAGTGTTGTTTTTTCATACTTTTATTTTTCATTTTACCCATTTCTTAAAATATGTCCAACACAGTAAGTCTTAGCTTACGCTTTACGCGGTTCTCGTTTACGCGTTTCTACATTTACGCTGTACCCTGCCAGAACCGGAATCCCCACTTTACGCGGTGCATCTACTCATATACGCGGGTGAAGTATAATTTTTTTATTTTGCTAATAAAATTCATACAAATTACCCAGCCAGAATATAATTTACATTGCTGGAATTCACAAAAGATAAAATATTTGCTTTGTGTAAACCAAATTATTACATTAGATCTAAAATTTGTATGTCTAATGCAAAATCCATGCTGTTTATATTCAAAATGATCATCATATTGTAAGAATTCCAGCAATGTAAATTATATTCTGGCCGGGTAATTTGTATGAATTTTATGAACTAAATAAAAAATTATACTTCACCCGCGTATATGAGTAGATGCACCGCGGAAAGTAAAAGTCCGGTTCTGGCGAGGTACCGCGTAAATGAGAAATCGCGGAAAGTGAAACCTCATAAAGCGGGGTAATACTGTACTGTATTGGTGGACTAATACGACAGCTAGTGTGCAAGAGAAAACATGTTGAGGGGAGCTCGTAAGGAATTCGTTAATCGAGGGATTGCTCGTTAACCAAAGTGAAGAATCTTATGGAAGGTAATTCGTTAACCGAAATTTCGTTAACCAAGGGATCACTGTAGTTTGCACTAGACAAAAATTTTAGTAAACATTTAGTACATTATTTTGAGTACATGTACAGTACAGCTTTGCGCTTAGGACAGTGTAGAGTGCCCAGAGAAACATCAGGCGCAAAATTTTAAATTTGATGCACCAGATTGACTCATGCAAAATCGGAAAGATTCACTTTAAATTAAAACATTGTCCTTAATTATGGGTGTCGCTTTAAATCAATAATCTTAAATTGAATCGCTTTAAATCGACGTTCTACTGTATAGTCACAATCATGCAAAGCAAAGGTCCTGAGACCCCTAAATTGTCAACCTGAAGATTTTTTGGTGCAATATACAATTCATCTTATCAATTTCATGAGTTATGAAAGTCCTTCCCAGCTCCCACAAGAACAAATACACCCTTACAACAAAATTACAACTTACCTTCAGCATTTTTTTCAAGTACTCTACCAAGAATTTTCTAAAGCCTTGGTTGTGGCCCCAGCGAGTAGACACAGCCTGCTTTGTCAAGGGTCGACCACTCTTCTTAGCTTTTTTTAACCAACGCCATTCTTCTGTTCCATCGTGTTCGATGATTTGAAGAACTCGTATAAAAAGAGCAGACTCGTAGTATGGGAATATGCACATCAGTAGAGCACGGATGTTCATGCTATTGATCATAAATCTGTTCAAAGTGAAATATAATCAGCTTACATCTTTTTTTCATATCTTACAAATAAGGTTCCAGTCACATTTTATTTCTTCCCTGATCTTTTGTGAACTGAGAAGTTTTCTAAAAAAATTGAATAACATGTATGGCATCACCCACAGTACAGAAAAACGTTACCCAGAAATGGAAACTATCACCTAAACAAATTCATCTCGGAATGTTATAACAAAATAAAAAACTTGGACACTTGGGGTAAACTGAAATTGTTTGTACCTTCCATCAATAGTGTTATGAAAATTATCATGTATGACATCCCTCACACATGCAACTCATTTCTTCTTCCATAACTTTTTTTACTATTTCTTTAATTACTTCTTCTCACTCTCAATACTGTACTGCATACCTTCATACACCTACTTACACTTTCCCTGTTACATCTACAGTACAGTACATACACCTTACCTTTTGCAATTTTACAAAAGGATGAGTAGGGAAGCAATATCTCAAGATTCCAAGGTGAAGTACAGTATACGGTCTTAGTACTGTATACAGAATTACTACATACTACCTGTACTATAAAGGAAATAACTATCTATCAATAAACTTGCCTGTAGACCAGCCATTCAAGTGCCTTTAATGCAGCCTGTTTCTCTATGTAGGGTGACAACAGGAGCAAGAAATGTTCAATGTTTTCATCAAGCTTTCTGTTGGTAGCCTTGTCTTCAACTGCACGCTGAAATTCCTTTGATGTCTTCCCAAACAAAGATTCTTTAAACTGAAGAAACTTACTATTTATCTCAGCCAGTTCATCAAAACCAGATACACCTGTGAATGACCCCAAAATAGATTAAGATTATTTGCATTGCACTGTATACTACTGTATATTATTCCAAGAAACATTCAAACTTATTGAAATAACATCAACAGGATTAAATCAAGTACTTGAAAGTTCTAACCAAAACCTGTTGTTGTTGCTATTTTTTTTTATGGAGTTAACTGGGATAATCTTTGACATGGTATAAAATCCTAACAATACTGGCATGAGTAACACAAGCAGAAATAATTCTGACAACACATTTCATGACCAAACCTAGACCAGGAGACTCGTGTAATACCCAAACAAGTCTACAGGGTCAATACCCACAAAACTCATAAAAAATACCAGCTGGTACCACACCACAGATTAGTACTGTACTTCCCAATACATAACATAACTCTTAAACAGAGATTTAGAAGTACAGGTTTTCATTAAGGCTGGATGCTAGTGAGTTGTGACATCACACAATCAGTACACACAGCAACTAGCTCATCAGTGTTACCTTCTATTTATAAAGGATGCAGCTTAATCAGGCTAGATCCTATCTCTTACTTACAAGTGGAAGGTTCCTGAAAACCTTAGGATCAAACCCACAAGCTTGACAAAAAGGAAGAAGTGCATAAATAACCCACTCCCAAGTCCGCTTATAAAATGGGATTTCAGGGCCAATCTCCCATTTCAGAAGGATGTGATAACAACGGGAGGGGGGAGGGGGGGGGGAGAATTGACAAATAACTTAGAGGCTAAATCTTTCCAGGATGCTTCCCAGTTAATGACTCTGCAGATCTGTCCAGGCATTACACGACATTTGGAACAAGTTTAATTCACTTACCAATTTCATATAATATATCTCTGCCATATTTTGCTGCCTCTGATGAGTCAAAGAGAATAGATCTTCGTATCCTTTTCTCATCCAAGATAGATGTTTGAGGAGTTTTTAACTTCTCTAGCTGTGTTGCCAGTGAGGTTGCCATGGTTACACAGATGGCTCTCTGTAGTGATAATAAAGAAAACAATATTAATTCTTTTACTATAATTATGACTCAGCTTGTTTATTTAAATCACAATACAGTACAGTATTGTGGTCTATTTCTACTAAAATCAGACATAGTTAAGTGAATGTTTGTATGAATTAATTAAAGCATTCAAGGTGCATGGCTTACTTACAGCTTTTTTAAGTCCAAAACCTGTAAATATAAAAATGTTCTGTTCACGATCTACGGTACATGGACACAAACACTTTAATGAAAATCCCAAATAAATCAAACGTTTATTAAAGTGGAAACCCAAGAAAACACCTTTACCATGGTTTAAATTGTCAACACACAAGATATGACTCAAGACATTAAATGAATAGATCATTTCTAGTATAAGGTGAAAATAAAGCTGGTTTTGAATACACAGTAGATACAACACAGGAATCTCAATCTTCAGAAAAGTACTGCACTGTTCTGTACAGTAGTACCAAAACTAACATGAAACAGCAGATTGCAAATAAATATACACATTCTGTCCTCAAAACATTAGCACCTGCACTCTTATACTATACTGTAATGGTAATTCTGGCTCTTCTTGATTGCTTACAGCCCTTAACATACGCGGGGGTTAGGTAACAGAGATACCCATGAATGTTAAAAATCCGTGTATTTTTGCTGCCCCCCCCCACCCCAAAAAAAAAACCTTGGCCCCCCATGTCCTTATTTACCGTATATACCTGTGTGTAGTTCGAGTTTAAGACCAAATTATTTGGCAAAAAATTGGGGGTCGACCTCTAAACGGGTAATAGTTTCGTTAGGTTGAAAAATATTTACCAGTAACTACCAGTAAGCAATGGAAACGACGCACCACCAGCTGTGAGTGTCAGTACAGTTGCCAGGGCAGATCTCTTGCGTCATCATAGCAAGCCCAAAGTACTGTAGCCAAGTCCATGGTATGGTAGCACAGGACAATGTAAAACACAAAGTATTCATTTTTAAATATTATTTATAGATACTGTACATAAATTTTTGTTCATTACATTTGAAACATCAATCTTTGTTAATTAAATTTGAAACAAAAGAAAACTACAATACCGTATTTTCATTAAAATATTATATCACAAGTATATTTTACCTTAACTGTGACTGAATGAATATGTTCTCAGAAATAAATATGGAAATGTAATATTTTCGCTGAAATGACGGACAGTACATATTACAGTGGAAAGTGGGATAAGATCATGACGAAAACAATGACTTTCGCTTTCTTTCGTTGTTCAAAAGATTTTACCATAATCGCTTTTCAAATGGTTTTCAGTCAAAAAACTGTTGTACTGTACTGTATTACAATAATATTCTATCCTATCATTAGCCTCATAATCCCACAACTGAAAACCATTCGAAAAGCGATTACGGTAACATCTTTTGAATGAAAGAAAGCGAGTCATTGCTTTTGTCACAATTTTATCGCACTTTCCACTATAATACATACGTCATTTCAGCAAAAATATTACATTTCCATATTCTCAGAAACAAATACTGTAGTAGTTTTGTTGAAACGTAATGTACAGTATTTAATATTAAAATGCAAAAAGAGCAATAAAAACAATTAATACTGTACACCCATAATGTACTGGCTGGCATCTCCACTCGTCCCTGCTCCCGCCAGTCACCACTCCTCCCCGCTCTATCCCCCCGCCTCCTCCACATCGTCACTACTGTTGTATTACAATAATATTCTATCCTAATTCACTTAAATAAATAATACGATACCATATTTCTGAATATTTTCATTAAAATCCATCAAAATCATTTTCCTTGTCATCGTCTTCAGCACCAAACAGCTCCTACCAGTCTTCTCCTTGAACAGGGCTAGAGGGTACGTGTTTTTCGAATCGTTTTCAATTAAAAAAATGTTACATCACATGTATATTTTACCTAAACCGGGCCTGAATGAATATATTCTCAGAAATAAATAGTAGTTTTGCTGAAACGTGATGTATTTCAATATAAAATAGGATAAAATACATGACGAAAACAAAAGACTTTACCCAACCCTCCGATGTTCAAGAGATGCTACTCGTTTTTTTAATAGTTTTCGGTTAAAATACTGTTATATTACAATGACATTATATTCATACTGTGCTTGATATACTGTACTACATTCACGGAAATGTAATATTTTTGCTGAAATGACATACGTATTACAGTGGAAAGTGGGATAAAATCGTGACTAAAGCAATGATTTTCGCTTTCTTTCGTTCAAAAGATGTTACCGTAATTGCTTTTCGAATGGTTTTCAGTTAAAAAACTGTTGCATCACAAGTGAATTAGGATAGAATATTATTGTAATACAACAGTTTTTTAACTGACAACCATTCGAAAAGCAATTACAGTAACATATTTTGAACGAAAGAAAGCGAAAGTCATTGCTTTCGTCACTTTCCACTGTAATACGTAAGTCATTTCAGCAAAAATATTACATTTCCATATTCTCAGAAATAAATAGTAGTTTTGCTGAAACGTAATGTATTTCAGTGTAAATTAGGATAAACTACATGAAAACAAAAGACTTTACCTAACCTTCATATGTTCAAGATATGTTACTCGTTTTTTTAATAGTTTTCGGTTAAAATACTGTTATATTAGTGATATTCTATTCATACTGTGCTTGATACAATACATTCACGGAAATATAATATTTTTGCAACTACAATGCTGATGTCAACACAAGCGTGGTTACAGCGAGACTGACTGAGTGAGGGAGAGCTGTGCGTCTGTGTGTGAGGTAGCGGGCGGTGTTCGGTGCCGCGCGCGATTTGAATGTACTTCAATTACTTCAATGTACAGAATATTCCTCCGGTGGGGCAATCCGCGTATTTGCGAATCCGTGAATGCTAAACCCGCGTATTTGAAGGGCCAACTGTATATATATTAGTTTTCTCAATCTACAATCATAAATCACCTGTAGTGCGCAGGGCATAAAGGATGAGGGAAATTATGGGGTAAAACACGGTGAAAAACTGACCATGTAACACTAAAATGATGTCTCTACATGCTTATGTGAAGAAATTATTTATTGCAAATAGTTCTCCAAAAAATCTGCTGACTCAGTGTGTGTTGTCATCTGTACTTTGTTTATGTCCAACCCACTCGGTCCAAGTGTACTCTCATGTCCACAAAACACGTAATATTACACCAGGACACTTCAACAAAGTTGCTTTCACTGGTACCAGATATCAAAATAAGTACTTTCTGTTTAATATGGCAGGAGATCTGCCCCCCGGCTGGTAAGTTAGGTAAGGTTAGGAAGGTATCTTTGGGTCATGTCCTATTAGGTTAAAGTAAATGTCGCCTCTGGTAATTATTTACGAATTCACGGCAGCTGACTTTTCATAGAAAATTAATTTTAAAATACTGTACCGCAATTTTACTGTTTTATAGTGGACACTGTCGTAGTTATGGAAACTGTGTTAAAAAGTGGCTATTTCTAAATTAAACCTAACCTTAGTTGATAAGAAAAACAAGCAGAAGTGTAGTTAGAAAACCTCACCAACCTAAACAAACAAACCTATTTAACCTTACCTAACTTCCTATAGTAGCTGTGAGGCTCAACCCTCCGGACCCCCTGGCATATTTAACAGAAAGAACTTGCTGTTATATGTTGTAAATATACGTTTTTTTGTGGGCGTCAGAGCAGCCACCCGATCTGTGTGGCTCATAAACATACACTGGTGACTGGAGTCGATCAGAGATAATTGGCTGTGTACTGCCAGGTCGTGCCGAGAAAGACAAAGTAGTGAAGCCTAGTCTCCTAATTATGTACCAAACGAAGTAATTTCCATCAAAGTGATTATTATATCAGATCTCACGGATGAAAATATAGACAGAATATACACATCAAAACAAGGTATTACTTTACTTTCGGACATAGCGCCCCCGAAAATTATAAACTACCGAAACATTTAGATCTCGCTCTCAAGCATGCACAATGTTGACTGACGTCATCCAGTCGTGGGCAATGGGGTATCGATATCATCACGAGTTTTTTTAAAACCAATCACATTTGATTTTTTTCAAAGGAAGCAGCCTGGGTATGATTTTAATTTCATTGATCAGTTTCATAATGACCGTGAGGGAGGTTGCTTGTCGCTTGTGCTCCTACGATTATTTTAAGTTTATTGCCGAGTTTTACGAGAAAGACAATTATTCTATCCAATTCTTACGTATCCCTGGTACTTCCACTTCCAAGGTATTGTACTTTCGGAAATGGCGCGCCCCAGTTTTTAACCACTGAAACATTTAGGTTAGTTTAAACTAGGACTCCCAAAACCCCAATTTCTCAGGCTCTCCCACATTATTGTTGGGGGCAAAACTATCATTTAAATCACACCCAAATACACTAGAAAAGCATATTGGGCAACCCCTCGGGACTCATGTCCTAAAGTAAAAATTTACCCAAGACAAATAAGGTCAATTTATAGTAGTGCACTGTTCTTTCTTTGGGTATTAGAAAGAGTATGTGTAAAAATACCATACAAGACCAACCAAACCTAACCTCATCAACCTAACCAACTCAGGGGGGTCCAGGGGGCTCTGGGTTAGGTTAGACAGAACGGTGCACAAATATATAAAGACCACAACTAGTGCATCTTTTCTTCTTCTTTTATCCTCTTCACCACTGATCGGCTCGTTAGCCTCTTGGGCGATCGGTCACGTCTCTGTCACGCACTGTTGGCAAGTACTGGGCATGCACCGGCTCCTGAATGTACCTGAACCTGCTCCAGTGTTGGTCAAGTCAAGTCTTGAAAGAGCTCACACTCGGTGCCGTCACAACACTCTCTGGTAGATTGTTCCAAGAGTTTAAAACCCTCACTCCGAAAAAGTTTGCCCTCACGGTTTTCTGGACTTGCGGCTTCTTCAATCTTGAGCTGTGACCCCTTGTGGGGCGAGCGTCCGCCAGCTCCAAGTAAGGACACTCAACTGAGTAGTGCCCCCTGAGATGCTTATACACCTCAACTAGGTCCCCCCTTGCCCATTTGTAGTATAAGCTAAGCAAGTTCAAGCGCTCCAATCTCTCTGGGTAGTTGAGGTGCTGAAGTGCAGGCACCAGTTTGGTGGCCCTCCTTTGAACATTTTCAACCAACTGACAGTCCCTAGCATATCTCGGGGACCAGATGGGGTGATAGTACTCCAGATGGGGAAGCACTTCACTCTTGAAGATCGTTACGAGGGACGGACTGTCTATATATCTGAACGACCTTCTTATAAGACCCAATATTTTATATGCTTGATTTACCTTCTTCTCGCAATGGCCCGAGAACTTCAGCTCATTGTCAACATACACACCTAGGTCCTTCTCACAATGTCTCAAATAGTGCAGTTTCTTCATCCCGTTGGGACATATGATACGCCTCCTTACTGTTGGTACGCCCCAGGTGCATCCTCTTACACTTCGTGACATTGAATCTCAGCAGCCATTTCTTCGACCATTCTTGGAGCTCAGCTGTGAAGTTCTCCACATTGGCCAAAATACTTACTATAGTAAGAACATCTGTGGTATAAATGAAAGAAATCGAACAAGATTACCCTTCAAAACTACCTATATTAAAGATAAAATTCCTAAGATTCCCGTGTTGTCTGAAAATATAATACTGTAATACCACTCCTCTTGCTGTACCGTAGCTGTGGACGTATAATAAAGTCACAGGAAAAAGTCACATGACTTGTACACATTGACAACACAATATATATATATGATGGCATTGCACGTAGGTTAGGTTAGGTTTTTTCCGTGCCTTTTTTTCCTGGATTCGTTTAACTCACAAGCAGAAGTGAGCATGTTGACCGAAATTTAATAATAATAATACTAACACTTATATATCATACCTCGGTTTTTGATCACAAAATATTCACATGTGTTCTTTATAATGGGAGGAATATTCTCACCACACCGACCACCGTAGACGTCACCACTGCTACACGTGGGTCAGCGGCTCCCTCCACTGTTTATCATTAACCGTTCTCACAACAAATACGGATTAGAATTCACATTTACTTAAAGAACATTAGGTCATGGAGGATGCAAATATGTTTCTTTTTATTTCATTCCCAACTGCAACTGATCGTGTTTAATAAAAAGAGAAACTCAAATAGAAAAAATTAGAGTCCATTTCTACAAAGGATAATATACCTCTTTATCTCCACTATTATTCAAAGGAATATATATTTTTTAGGGAATTTTGTTCTTAATTTTATTGAATATTCTGTTTCTGGAGGAACACTTCCGTTTTGTTGTATATTGGAAATGATTAAATTTGAAATTGCATTACTTTGGTGTCTATTCTACAGGGGCTGATCCATGCAATGATACTATGTATGCCAAGGCTTAATTTAGTATTAAGTTTTTGTGAACTGGGTGTTCTGATTATTTTCTATTCCTAGCAGCAGTTATTTTGACAAGTTTGAGGGGATTTTCTTGTATATATTGATGTATTACCAATGTAAAAAAAAAATTCTTTCTATTCTTTTATCCCCTTCGCCACTTGGGCGGTCGGTCATCTCTGTTACGCATGTTAGCTAGTACTGGGCAAGCACTGGCTCCTAAATGCATCCGAACCTGCTCCAGCGTTGGTCAAGTCTGGTCTTAAAACAGCTCACGCTCGGTGCCATCACAATACTCTGTGGCAGGTTCTTACACGAGTTCATAACTCTCACTCCGAAAAAGTTCGCTCTCGCAGTTTCTGGACTTGCGGTTTCTTCAACCTTGAGCTGTGACCCCTTGTGGGGCGGGCGTCCACCAGCTCCAGGTATGGACATTCGACTGATTAGTGCCCTTTAATATGTTTATACGCCTCAATTAGGTCACCCCTTGCCCGTCTGTAGTATAAGCTAGGCAGTTGCAGGCGCTCTAATCTCTCTGGACATCTGAGGTGCCGAAGTGCATATCTCGGTGACAAGACAATGTGACAGTACTCTGGGCGGGGAAGCACTGTAGTGGATTCCTCCCCTACAACTGCCGTCGCTGACCAGCTGACCCTCTTCGAATTCCCGGCGTACGCCTTGTGGCCTAGGTCGGTAACCAGTGCCACCTAACAAAGCGGAGGTCAACTATCAACCCACGCCTACCCCCGCTATATAAGACCTCACCCCGCCGTGACCTACAGATTCTTTCTACTCCTACTGTATTTCAGTTTCACCACTTTTCCTTCAACTCCTAATAATCTTCTTTCACCTCTTAACTAAAGACTTCGTATCGTATCGACCTACCTCTTTCTACCTACAGCCACCAGCAAGCAACACCTCCTCCTCCGCTCCTGCCTGGCGGCCCTCGCTCCCGCCGGCGACTATGCCACCCTTCAAGCTGCCTGTCCTCCTCTGAGCACCCTCACCAACCAACTCTCTCCTACACCACGCTTGGACTCACGCTGCCACCCCCCAGCACCAAGCTGCATTGTACATCCAATACAATATGTATTCAGAGAGCGCATTGTGAGTTTCCTTTCTCCAACCCATCCTGAGTGTGAACCAATATCTCATAACCCCACAGCACCACAGTCTTGAAGGTCGTTACGAGGGACCTTCTTATAAGATCTAATAATTTAGCTGCTTCATTCACCTTCTACTCACAATGGCCCAAGAACTTCAGTTCATTGTCAACATACACACCCAGGTCCTTTTCACATTCAGTCTCTATTAATGCAGTTCCTTCGTCCTGTTGTGACATATGTTACGCCTCCTTACCGTTGGTACGTCCCAGGTGCAGCCTCTTACACTTCGTGACATTGAATCTTGGCAGTCATTTCTTCGACCACTCTTGAAGCTCACAGAGATCTTTCTGCAGCTCTTCGCAGTCTGTTTGGTTCTTAATTTCTCTAAATAACTTGGCATCGTCCGCAAACATTTGTATGGCGGATTGTATTGCTTTTGGCATATCATTACGAAACTAACAACAACGGGCCCCTGTGGTACCCCGCTTGTGATGGATACACATGACGATTTCGTACTATTAATCACCACACACTGCTTACGATCATGCAGAAAGTCTTTGATCCACGCTAGGGCACTTCCCCGAATCCCGTAGCCTTCCAATTTAATTCTCAGCCTTTCGTGGGGTACGCTGTCGAAAGCCTTGGCAAAATCTAGTTATATATTGTCGATATTGCCACCCTGTTTCAGAATTTGGGTCCAATCATCCAGTACCTTGAGTAATTGTGTTAAACAGGAGCGTCCCGGCATAAAACCGTGTTGGAAATCCTTTACAAGGTTGTTTCGTAGTAGATGCTCCATCATGGCATCTCTTATAATGCTCTCAAGTACTTTACACACTGTGTTGGTCAGGCTCACTGGTCTATAATTATTCGTGGAGTGACGATCGCCCTCCTTGAAAACAGGACTCACATAAGTCATTTTCCAATCACTGGGGACCTTTTGTTCATCCAGAGATCTACAGAACAAGATCTTCAGGGACTTAGCAAGCTCGTTGCACAACTCTCTTAGCACTCTGGGATGCACCATGTCAGAGCGTGGACTCTTATGAACTTTTAGCTTTGACAATTTATTTCTTAAAACCTGTTCTGAGAACAATGTGGGTCAGTGTTATCAAACCGTCTGTCCTTAAACGCAGGCAGATTGTTCGCATCCTCTCTTGTGAACATCGAGGGAAAGAAGCTGTTCAACGCCTCCGCCTTGTCCTGGTCAGAATCTGCGTAACTACCATCTTCAAGCCTCAGGTCCGAAACGCCTACTCGCGTTTTTAATTTAGACTTTGTGTAGCGGTAAAATGCCTTTGGGTTGGACTTGAGCAAGCTAGCAATCCGCCTCTGAAACTCTTTTTCAGCCCTTCTACACTCTGACTTGCTTGGCTCCAGGATCTGGCATACATCCTCCTGTCCTGCTCATCGTTTGTCCTTACCCACGTCTCGAATTTCTGAGTTTTCTTCTTAACTTTGTCGACCGCCGAATGGTTCATGTGTAGCGGTCTCCTTGTCTTGGGTATATATTTTCGATCAAATGGCTCACTCTACTGGCTTTGATATTCGGCGTGGTGTCTTGCGTTCTTATACCTTAGTGAGTCAGGCCAGTGGATACCACTCATCCCGTCGTAATTACCCTTGTAATATTTGAACCATGAGTCAGGCCAGTGGATACCCGTCATCTCCCCCCTCATCCCGTCGTAATTACCCTTGTAATATTTTAACCTTGGTATAGTTTTGTTGTGAATCAAGAAACAGTTAAATCTGAAAGACAACGTTACGTGGTGACTGGTGCCATTGGGGGCTAGGTGTTCCAGCTTGGCCACCATACCCTCGTTAGTTATGATGAGGTCCAGTGGCTTGGGTGTCTGCTCTCCTCTGTAATGAATCGGATCTTTAACACGTTGGAACAGAAAATTGTCTCTCAGAATATATACAAAAAGAGTAGCGGCGTTATTTCGGTCATTTGGCGTGGTTTCATTTCTCCAGTCGATGTCGCCATGGTTAAAGTTCCCATGACAAGGAGGTGGCTAAGGTTGAGCGCCGTTGCGTTGTCAATTAAGGCTCTTAGGTTCCTTTGGTTTAATAAGCTACAGTTTGAGGATCTGTAGATACAGCCGACAAAAAGTAAGTCCCTCCCCTTTAATTTAATTTTACACCACTTTGATTCTTCAAATATATCCTCCCCCCTGTACTCTCACCTGGCTGGCTCAAAGGTCTTGCCTAGCATAGATAACCACATCCCCCTTGCAAGTTGCTTGAGAAAAATTCGTAAATGAGTTATATCGGTCTATGTTAAACTCACATTCCTCCGGGTCGATTCTCCTGTTCTTGTACAAGTTCTGTGAAGAATGTGGCAAGGGCTGCGCAGCCATTGAAGAAAAGAGCTGGGATTTTCGTGGTTACCCTGGTCATGATTAAGTTTCTCTTTCCTAGGTTTACAGAAATATTATCCACACCAACGTCGACACAGTTATCCCACAAAATGCTATGCTGCACTAAGGTTTCATCCATTTTCTTAAAAATGTCTTCAGCTGTAGATCCTTTGGCCATGCACATGTCAAGCAGCTGAGTACACTCCATCATGAGTAAAAATGCGCGCCGTTAGTGGGATAATTTTCAGCAGTCCTGTGTCGTTTGATCCATCAATTGTTAAAGAATATGGCTTTGATTTCATTTATTCAACCAATTTTGATTTAAAATGCTGTTTAAGTGCCCTGTTCACAATGCTAGCGAGCGGCAGGTGTAGAAATCCTGAGATTTTCGGGTTTAACCGTGAGAGTTGACTTGTCTGTGTATTTATTAATGACTTGGTTGATATTCCCAGCAATGAATAATAATGCATTTTTTTTATAATTTCAGTAATTTTATGTTAATTTCTTACAAGTGGACTCTCAGGTTTTTAACACATGCAATAGTTATATCTCATCATTCTGAGTAACTCTCTTTCTAAACACTTCTTTGGCAAATGAGTAATAATGAACCCAAAAGGATATTATTTCAGTTTCGGTCATCTGGGGAATCGTTTGGGTTACATTAGGTTAGGTTGGTTAGGTTATTTTGGATATCTGTAAATATTCGTTTAATGGCTATGGTTCGTTTTTATTATGAGAATTCAACTTCCAAATCACTGTTGAAACCGAACCTAACCTCTATCAACCATGTATTACTAATTAAGTTATCCCAACCAAACAAATCTACCTAACCAACCTAAAATCTTGCTGCAGCCATTAAACGAATGTTAACCTGGATATCTAAATTTAGGGATGACAGAAACTAAAATTTTACTCCTGATAGAACTTGACCTAACCATCCAAAGAAATCTACCTAAACTAACCTTAACTTACCTTACTTATTTTGCTATCTGGTACCAGTGGTACACCCTGCTGCCATATGGCACCCCAAAAATTGTGACCAAGTCCCAGGTTGCTGATCTGACTTTCTGCCTCATTTACACACAATTGCAGGGTCTCAATAATTGTTTTTTTTACTGTTTACAACATACATAATGTATGTCGTTTCTCAC